GCAAAAGTTAATTAAAGCCTTTATACTTACTTTGCCAAACGTTCAAAAATCTTTTGAAATTGAGTATGATGCTTCAAATGTTGGGATTGGGGCTGTGTTGTTGAAAGAGGGTCATCCCATTGCTTATTTTAGTGAAAAGTTAAGTAGTCCTACCCTTAATTATTTAACTTTGCATGTCTTAGTGAAGACTTTAAAAACATGACAACACTACCTTTATCCCAAGGAATTTGTCATTCATAGTGACCGTGAGTCTCTTAAGTATCTCAAGGAACAAGATAAGCTGAATAAAAGATATGCTAAGTGGGAGAAATTTCTAGAGCAATTCTCTTATGTTATCAAACATAAAAGGGGACAAGGTAATGTTGTAGCCAATGCTCTTTCTTGGCGTCCACTACAAAAAAAATGCTTATTATCTACGGGTAAAATCCGTAGGTAATGACAAAAATCCGTAGGTAATGTCACTTTACCTACGGATTTCTTTCCGTAGAAAATCCGTAGGTAATTTGGTCGTAGGTAATTACCTACGGATTTATAATCCGTAGGTAATGCACTCGCGGTAATTACCTACGGATTTATAATCCGTAGGTAATGCACTCACCTTAACAAAACAAAATATTTTTATTTATTACAACCCCCTCCCTTATTTCTTATTATTACCTAGAACCCCTCCCCTTTATATTATATTTTTATTATTTATTATATTTTCGAAACTTTGAATTATTATTAGATTAAGGTAATTGTCATCGATAAGATTCGAACCCAAGCATCTCGAGTTGGAGGCTGATACTCCAACCACTAAGCTATTAGGATATTTTGAAAATAATTTACAAATAAATTATATTTATATTTATCCGTCTAAATATATAAATAAAACATATATATAAATATAAAAAATATATATAAATATAAAATATATAAATATAAAATATATATAAATATAAAATATATATAAATATATAATATATAAATATAAAAAATATATAAATATAAAATATATATAAATATAAAATATATAAATATAAAATATATTTATATTTTGATATATTTATATATTTATATATTTATATATTTATACATTTATACATTTGTATTTATATATTTATATTTATATATTTATATATTTATATTTATATATTTATGTATTTATATATTTATGTATTTATATATTTATATATTTATCTATTTATATATTTATGTATTTATGTATTTATGTATTCATATATTTATGTATTTATATATTTATGTATTTATGTATTTATGTATTTATATATTTATGTATTTATATATTTATATATTTATATATTTATATATTTAATTATTTATATATTTAAATATTTAAATATTTAAATATTTATATATTTATATATTTATGTATTTATGTATTTATGTATTTATGTATTTATGTATTTATGTATATTATATATTTATGTATTTATATATAAATATATTTATATATTTGTATATTTATATATTTGTATATTTATATATTTGTATATTTATATATTTGTATATTTATATATTTATATATTTATATATTTTTATATTTTATATTTATATATTTTATATTTATATATTTATATATTTTATATTTATATATTTTATATTTATATATTTATATATTTACATGAATTAATATAAGTATAATTTAGTTGTAAATTATTATTAGAATATTCTAATAGTTTAGTGGTTGAAGTATCGGTTTTCAACTTTAAGGTATTGGGTTCGATTCTTGCTAGTGACAATTCTTTTAGTTTAATATAATTTACCTACGGATAGTAATTTCGTAGGTAATTACCTACGGAATTACCCACGGATGATATTACCTACGGATGATATCCGTAGGTAATGGATAATTACTCACGGATAGAATTCCGTAGGTAATATCCGTAGGTAATGTACACTTTACCTACGAATAGTAATTACGCAGGTAATTACCTACGGAATTATCCATGGATTACATTACCTACGGATAGTAACTCCGTAGGTAATTACCTACGGATAGTAATTCCATAGGTAATTACCTATGGATAGTAATTCCGTAGGTAATTACCTACAGAATTACCCACGGATGATATTACCTACGGATAATATCCGTAGGTAATGGATAATTACTCACGGATAGAATTCCGTAGGTAATATCCGTAGGTAATGTACACTTTACCTACGGATAGTAATTACGTAGGTAATTACCTACGGAATTATCCACAGATTACATTACCTACGGATAATATCCGTAAGTAATGGATAATTACCTACGGATAGAATTCCGTAGGTAATATCCGTAGGTAATGTACAATTTACCTACGGATTTTCATCCGTGGGTAATATCCGTAGGTAATGTAAAATTTACCTACGGATTTTTATCCGTGGGTAATATCCGTAGGTAATGTAAAATTTACCTACGGATTTGTATCCGTAGGTAATATTCCGTAGGTAATAGGGTTTTTTTTTGTAGTGGTCATGCTTTACTTTCCATGCTTGTAATAAAATTGATTGGTCTTGAATGTTTGAAAAACATGTATGAAAATGATAAAACTTTTGGTGAAATTTTTAAAAATGGTGAAAATTTTTTAGAAAATGGTTTTTGTAGACATGAAAGCTTTCTTTTTAAAGAAAACAAATTGTTTGTGTTTAAATGTTCAACAAGAAACTTGCTTGTTAGTGAAGCATATGAAGGAGGTTTTAATGGGACATTATGGGGTTCAAAAGACTCTAGAAACATTACAAGAACATTTTTATTGGCCTCATTTGAAAAAGAATGTGCAGAAGTTTTGTAAACATTACATTGTTTGTAAAAAGGCAAAGTCAAAAGTTACCTCATGGATTGTATACTCCATTGCCAATTCCGGAATATCCTTGGATTGATTTATCCATAGATTTTGTTTTAAGGCTGTAAAAAACAATGACAAAGATTCAATTTTTGTGGTTGTTAATAAATTTTTTAAAATGGCTCATTTTATTCTATGTAAAAAATTGAATGATGTTTCTCATGTGACTAATTTTTTTTTCAAGGAAATTGTAAGACTCCATGATTTGCCAAGAAGCATTGTTAGTGATAAGGACTCTAATTTCCTAAGTTATTTTTGGAAGACCTTGTGGGACAAGTTGGGAACTAAATTGTTATTTTCAACCACTTGTCACTCACAAATCGATGGGCAGATAGAAGTTGTTAATAGGGCTTTGGGAACATTGCTTAGGACAGTTTTGAGAAGAACTTAAAAAATTAGGAAGTTTGTTTATCCCATGTTTAATTTGCTTACAATATAATTGTTCATATCACTACTAATTGTTCTCTTTTTTTAGGTTGTTTATGGTTTTAACCCATTAACTCCTCTTAATCTTTTGTCTATGCCTAATGTTTCAGTTTTTAAATATAAAGAATGTTAAGCTAAGATAGACTATATAAAGAAGTTTCATGAAAGAGTCAAAAATCACATTAAGAAAAAAAAATGAAAGTTATGCTAAGCAAACCAACAAAGGGAGAAAGAAGGTTGTCTTCCAACCCTGGGTTTTGGTGCGCATGAGAAAAGAAAGATTTGCATAACAAAGGAAATCAAAACTTCAACCAAGGGAGAATAATGGCAAATCTGATTTGAGGATAAATCCTTCTCAAGAGGGAGAGAATGATGGGGATATGATCATGAGCAAAGATCCACTTGAAGGACTTGGATGACCTATAACAAGGGTTAGAATAAGGGAAGTAAAAGAAGTTCTTCAACAAATATTGTCCATATTATTTGAATACAAACCCACATCAAGGAGAAAATTTCAAAGTTGTGAATTATATCATGACCCAAATAGAAGAGGACTAATGCATCACTTTTATTTCAGTCTTTAATCCTTTGTAAAATTGATTGACCAATTTATATTTTAAGTTAATCAATTAATGAACTTTAGTTTGATTTTGTTTAAAATTATAATAAAGGGTCAATTGAAAACTTAGGCATCAACCTTTGGAAGACTAAGAGAATACATAACTAATTGATTTTTGATTGTCATAATTTTAGTTACAATTAGTCATTTAATATTCAATTTCTATGTCAATGGATCATTATTAGTATTTATTTACCTCCATTAAGTAGTTTTCAATTCCTAGATTAATTAATCATTATTAGCATTTATTTGTCTCTATTAAGTAGTTTTCCATTCTTAGATTAATTGATTATTATTAACATTTATTTTCCTTAATTGAATCTTTGTAACTTTGATGGTAAAATTTCTATATAAACTGAACCATTTTTATCAAAAATACAATTTAAGTTTATTTAGAAATATTAGAGTTTAGCTATTTTATCTTAATAAGTGTAATTCTCCTAAGTTCTTGAGTAATTCAAAAACTCTTGATCGAATCAAAGAACTTTCACATCCTTTATGAATTACTTCCTTCTTTAAGAAGAGTAATTCTTTCCTTTTACCTTTCACATTCATCATCTCTTGTCATTTCTCCATCAGAGGCTAAAAAATTTGATTCTATCTTAATTTATTTTATACTCATAATTTTCATTCTACTTATCCAAATTGAGTGTTGTATAAATGAAATTCATAACAAAAATTTTCACTTCATTTTTTAATCACCTTAATTAGAATTTTATAATTTGAAATATCAACCAGAGTTTTGTAAGTTGATATAACGTTTCTAAAATTCTGTCTAATCCTAAAATTTTCACCACTTCTTAATCCATCTTCTTACTAATTTCCTCCAAATTTCTAACCTTATCCTAAATCAGTGATCGTGCAAATGAGATTTATATAAGGAAATGAGTAAAAAATGTTGGGCATAAGAGGTGCACTATAGAAGTAAGAATGAACGACAAGGTCAACAAAGAAGTTTCACCCTGTTTCAAATCTTGAAATGGATAAAAAGTGATAAAATTCATGTAACTGCATGCAAGTTCCCTGTCAAACCAAGCCACGTCACTGTCAAACATAGTATTAGATAATACATTTCCTTCCAGAAGTTATTATCTATCTATTGATGCTAGTAGGAACCAACTCTTCTTTCATGTTTCAACTGAGCTATTCCTCTTGTTCTCGGAAGAACTTTGCTTCCTTTCTGCTTGCAGCGACCGGCATAATGATTCAAGTTTTTCTTTCTGATTTTTTGTTCTCTCCAATTGTTTCTTCAAGCGCTCACGCTGCTCAGACAATAATTTAGTAAATTTCATAGATTTGTCAATAAATTAAGAAAGTTATTTGATGATAAAAACAGGAAATAACAGTATGGGCAATGAAAATGCCAAGAAAAAGTTATTGTCCAATGTTCAATGAAATATAAATAAAATATGAAAAGAAACATTGTACATTTACAAGCCTAAAGTCAATATATAAATTTTTCAAAAATCATCACCCAAAAACATTCTGTCTGTAGCAATTTACAAACCTCTAGGTTCTATATATTCTTCAGGGGCTTACTTAACCTAGCATTATATTTTTTACAAACATTTCAATATGTATAATTATGTAAACTGAACGAAACAGAACCAGGGTTTACAAATTAAGTGTGTTGGAAGCTTTCATCCTGTGAAAAACAAAAGGGTTAGAGGTGGACTACCAATTCAACACGGATCAATTAGTTTTACATATATTCAATTCACTTAATGAAGCCTTGGCAGAGAGCTAAAAAACTGTCACGAGTAACAAACTGAGCATGATCCATATCTGTGCATCAGCTTAAAGGGTGTGATACGAAAAGTGGCACCATATAAATGTTTGAAACATGCTAGGGTATCCTATAATTTCTCCTGGTACATGCATATGTTAGTGTCTGTAACACAATTGAGGCCAACTAATCTCTTTATCTATGTTTCTCTTTCATAATTCTTATAACATGCTAAAATGGTTAGTGGTCAAGAACAGGAAACACAAGTTATATACCTCATCAACTAACTCTATAAGTGTAACATCAGACTTCTCAGATTTACTCTTCAAGAATTGATTCTCCTTCTTGAGTTCCTTGATTGATTTAGCCATCTGGTTGTTAACAACAATAAAGGAAAAGACAGAACTTTAGAATTACAGTCATCCGATGTATGATTCAGAAAAAATTACTCGAGTCTTGAACAAATAAAACATGCAAGAGAAATAATGTTTACCTTCTCAATCTCTTGTTTGAATGTTTCAAAAATCTCACTGCTCTTTGACAAAGCTTCCTGAAATTCAATGCATGTGTTACGCACGTATGATCATAATAGTATATGAATGGAGAGATAGCCTCAGAACATTGTAAAAAAGTGGTCTTGAGCAAGAAGCCAAGTCAAAGTCAGAAAAAAAAAACGAAAAGGAGAAACTATGTTGTACAGTTTAGTAAAATTTTCTGCAAGCAGTAACAAAAAATAAAATAAATTAAACTTATTCCTTAAGCTAATTAGTTTATAACGAGTTAAAATCAGCTTTTAGTATTGTTATCTAGACAGGGCCAAGATGTACACAGAAAACAAGTTATCAATGACAGGCCTAAAAGCAATCAGTTGAAAGGAGGATCATGTCAGCCAAAAAAAGATCAGAAAATAGTATGTACGTGGAAACAGGAACGATCAGTAGGCTTGCATAATAGAAGAACTTTTGATGGTCGTAGATAGTTCAGCTGGTAAAGTATGAAGTGAGTACAATGACCTGCTCAAGTAGGGAGAGGTTTAGGGAAAGGGGCAGCAGTAGACGGAAAGAGAATCAGATGATACAGAACTTGTACAAGATATTAAAAATTACTAATATCTTGGAAAAAAAACCCAGCACAAATAACTACAAATATATGATCTTACTATTTGTTCAATTGTAATGAACATAAAGCATTGAGGATGTGAAACCAAAGTCAGTTTAGTGTAAGACCTTTCCGAATCCAGCAACAAATTGTTTATCTCCACATCGAAGTGTTAAAAATTACAAGTATTTAACAAACCAGATCTTTATACAAACAATGAGCAAATTGTAGCAAAAGAGACTATAAATTCAAATTGTGACAAATAAAAAAGAGAGAATCGAAATAAAACCTGAAATTGTTGGAATTTTTCTCCGTCAGTTGTCAGCTGCAATCGTAAACTCTTTTCAGTTGCTAATAACTGAGATACTTGCTCTGCATATAGTTTCATCTGTGACTGTTCCTGAATCAATTTTTCCTCATGTTGCTTAATTTTTAAATCAGCAAGCTGTAGTTCCAAAGACTTTTGCTTCAACTGTTTCAAATACAACATTAAAGTGAATAAGTTCCAAAAATTAATAAATAGAACTATATCACCAATGTCAACCACAAGAAAAGAAAAACCATCACCTTCTGTGCATATTGTTGCTCAGAGAGTTCATACTGTTCAGCAAGCTGCTTTAGCTTGTTTCTTAACCTGTATTGAAATTGAAGGCAACTTATTTTATGCTCATCATAAATAAACAAACATTGCAGACATTTTATTTTCTCAAAGAGCAAATGGATAGTGGCTGTTCTGGGAGTTTTGGGAATTACTTATTTTTAATTCTCATTAATGTAAATCAATCTCAAATTATTGTAAATAAGAGGTACTGCTGAGTGCTTCTAACTCTCAAGCAATGCAATCAAATTCTATGTTACTCAACACAACAAAACACAATAAATGATTAATCAAAAACATGGTCAACAAGGGGAGAGGGGAGGGCAGAAGAAGCAGGTGTAGACAAAAGCAATATATAATTACTGTTGAGTATTATGTCATCATAAAATGATTTAATCATATAAGAAAATTCCAGGTTCCAAGATATTAACAAGAAAATTGCAAGCATTTTTTTGGAGATTTCCCCATGGGTCGCAAGCACAAATGGTTAATACCAACAAACCAGTTAACAGTAGAATAATCTGCCCTTTTTGCCCTAAATTGTAAAGAGTTTGATATCCAGGTTTTTCTTTCAAAAAGATGTTAAGAGTACATGTTTATATTCTAAGTAAAAGGTTGCAAACAAAATTACAATGTGAATAGCATTTATGAAAACACCAAAGTAAAAATTTACAGAGAATGTCGTCTGTAGTTATGGACCAAAAATATCAAACCAAACACAAATGGAAATGAGGATTTAGCTTAGTAAGGAAAAGCTAATCAATAAATTGTCTTTAGATTATCTTATCCAAAAGGCAGCAGGCAATAAAACACATGAAGTCTACCCAAAGTTTATTGAGAAATAGCAAGAAACAAAGCAATAGCACATATGGGAGAAAGAAAGCAACTCCAAGAAAATTAATAACCAAAATAATAGAATTTGCACTCAAGCATTGCAGAGAAACTGATAACATAAGCCTAGATAAAATACCATATGCCAAAATAAAATACTCAAGCATGAACATTTGTTATATACAGCTGAAACATTATATATTTGCCTATACATTATGGACAACTATAAAATCGATATTAAATTTGTCAGGGTCTTACATGTCATTCTCTTTAAGCTGAGTAAGGCAGTCATCCTTTCGCTCTTCAAGCTTATTGCTGACATCCTGTAGTATAGAGAAATTAGCATTAAATGGAATAAAAAGCAGGAATATTGAAGAAAACAAAATCATTCTGTAATCACCAAAATCATCTCAGAAGAAAACAAGCGTAAGCTAATGACATTATAATAAACACTGAAACATATTCTACCAACCTAGAGAATAATTGTTGTGCCAAATGATTATTGAAGGAAAAACATAACAAATACATTGATTTTATGGCTGTTTTTAGCTCATTTAAGTAAGATTGATAGATAATGCGTCCATTGTATCACTTGCTTTTCCATATAACTTTTAAATAGCTTTAGCGTTCCATTAATACCAGTTGACCATTCGCCTTCATTTAGTATGCCAAAAATTTTACAGTCAAAGATATTATTATAGAGAACAAAGGGTACCAGAAAGAGACAGATAAGGTATCCTCGACAACTAAGTACTATACCAAGAAAAGACAGCAAAAACAATATTTGAAATCCACACTACTGTGCAACCATCTCTGCATATCTGCCAAGAGATACTGATCTAAAGAAATACCAACACAGTACCAAAAAGATAGCAAGAAAAGATCCTCTTTTTATAGTCAGTCTAAAAGGAAGGAAGCATCCTTCAAAAGAAAATATTTCATTCCAACAAGTTTCAGCTTATTTTGTTGAGTATTAAATTAATACAATACAATTAATTTGAAATAACATGACTGCTTTCATAATCACTTAAAACCACAGTCCACCAATAGAATTTAACTAATGAAAGTATACCCAATGCACACTGAGCAGAATATCATACATTCTAATTTCAAGACAAGACAATGTCCAAACCTTGATTGCGTCTTGAAACTTGGCTGACAAGTCCAGCCGTAAGTTTTGCCCCTCAGTTGATACACGTTTGCATTCTTCCTGAAAATGATAAAAGAAATGTTGGTATTTTCATTAAAAAGCATCATTTATATTTTTAAGTATGATGAATCATAACCCAATCATGCTATTTCATGATAGTTAGAAACAGATGAAAAAAATATAATAAACTGGAGAAAAATTAAATGGAGCCATTTTCTAATGGGATGATATTTCTTCAGGATAGAAAATGATATTAATATTATGAAGAAGAGAGGATAAGAGCAACTAGGGCAGCGTTTCAAAACATGAACAACTCAGGAATGCAACAAGGCTTCCTGCCTAATCTCTACATATATCAGAAAATAGCAACTCCGTGTAACAGCCATAAAGAAGCATGAAAAAAAATACTGTGGACCATAACAAGTTCAGAGGAAAAAATATATTCTTAAAGATCCAAGATTCTGATCCACTTCAATCAGGTAAACAAAAAGACTACATTCACTGCATAATGCAATAAAATTAGAGCTTTAAATACTGCTAGAAAAACTATTATGACAAATCAAGTTGAACTGCCCCTAACAGGAAGGACACACTAAATGGTGACCAATCCCAAGAGAGGGTTTTGAACTTCCAAATGGGTCTGTCAAGGAACATTTTAAATGCTTGGGAGATAATACTTTAGTAGGGGGGAAACCAACCTTATATACTTTGGCATGCTAGTTATCAGAACTCACCTAAACTGAAGTATATTCTTAGTTTTATTAATTGGGGCCAGTTATTTTCAGCTTGGGTCTTTTAGTGGAGAGCAAGACAACACACTGATTTTCCAAAATCTAAAATTGTCAACTGTTTCTGTATTCAAAGGAATATGTTATCCTCTAGGCTAAATTTTTCACTACTCTCTCAAATAGAAGAACCTCTTTTATTGAACAAACTTAGTTCCAATCAGGGAGTTTTACTTCCCAGAAAAATTTGCATAAATCAACAGACCTCAATTGCATATAAGAAAGACAACATTAGAGTATCCCACTTGCACATCTAGGACAACTCACATAGTATAAATCAGTTTGAGAGCTAACAGTTCAATAGAAAATACCATCAGCATTTTATTTTGTCGCTGTAATTCTCTACACAATGACTCAAGCTTATCTCGGACAGCAAGAGCTGCAAAAAAAAAAAAGGCAACAGTCAATGAACAAGAACTAGCATCAATGTCACCACTGATTAGATGCTGCAATTTTTTTAAGATTCCAAAAACGTGAGTATTAGATATAGTATTTACAACGAACAGCGTCAAAACAACTCAAAGTCTACCAAAATCTCCAACAACCTAACCCACACCATAAGAAAAAAGTTGTTTCGATGTTTAAATGGTACTTTTAGAGAAAGGACTTGCAGACTACACTTTTTAGTACAAGAGAAATTGTACACATAAAATAAAAAGAAAGCCAATAGAGAATAATACAATACCAATAGAAGATATTATTTGATAGCAACATACCTGCATCTCTTTCTGCCAACACTTGTTGATAATTGAGTGTAAATTCTAAAAGCTCCTTCTCTGATTTCAGACTTCGCTTTGCACTTTTTCGCTTTTCACCAGTTTCCTGACAAATTAAGAAGCTCAATTATTCAGTCCCCCACCTAGATGTAATTTCATATACTCACTGTGACATGACAAAAGAAAGAAAGAAAAATGAAACATATTGGCTCATGTTGACCAAAATGAGATAAATATAGTTCATTCTATCACATTTCTAATTCAAATATAATATGTAAAAATATCCTTTTCTGCTTACTGAGACATTAAAACGAATGAGTTGAATCGATCAAATTAATGACTCAGCTCATTTTAGAATGTTAAGAAAGTTTCCTAAAAAGGTTTCTGAATATTGACCAAGCATGGTATTGGAGTCCATCAAAAGTATATTAGATTCTCTACTCAAGCCGTGATTGCACAAAACTAGCAGTGTCAACTGTTGTTTTTGTTTGATTTTGACGTACGCACTGAACACAACATGACCTTAACTATCTCAATATTATGAACTCAACAATACCTAAATTGTTCGATGTGGAACAATTATGATGCTCCATCAAATTTTTCTATTCAATATAACATAATCTAGCAACTAGCCCCAAGTATATTTACATTCAGAGTATATTTAACATACCTCCTTCACGAATAAGCTGCAATAAACAAATTAAACAGCTAAAGCATTACAAACTGTACTATCCTTCAGAAATTATGATGGATATCGATTATGAATTCTAAACTATAACTTGTTGTCCAAACAAGAATAACCTACATACTTGTCTATACCATTCTCACAAAGATAACCTAACATATGCAATTAATGATGTGCGTATATAGAAATTAACAGAGATAATTGACTAACTGGTTTTTTGTTTTTCGAAGAATTAACAGTCTCTGACGAGCAAACATTCTTTGCTGGCAATGCTTTGGTCTCCAAAGGTACAACAGTTGCTGCAACAACACAGCCACCAGGTCAAATACTCAAACAAGGAATAATTAGAAGACATCAGAAATTCAACATAGAGATCTAAAATTGTGTTTTAATAGGTTTGTAGTTGTGTGTAAGCACAAAAGCTAATCCACTAATTATGTAAATTTATAGAATTATTCCAACCATTTAGTAACTGACTACCTATAATATCAGTATAAGTGTCAAGCAATGCAAGAGAAATAAGAAATGTAAGTTTAAGAGATCATTTCATCTTTCCAATAGACAAATTCGTAAAATCGTCTTTTTCCAATTTTATTTTGGATGGAAATATTTTTAATCCTAAAAAAAGAGTTGCTTGATCAATAAACAAACTTATAGAATTGGACAGTTCAAAAGAAAGAAAAAAATTATCCATTATGCTAAGGACTCACACCAGCTAAGTATATGGTCAAAGTAATCCTTGTAATAATGACTAGGGCAAGTCGAACCCCACTCCTGAGCCACATTTTAAGATGAAGTAAACCTCCTCTGATCTCAATTCTAATACATTATGGTAGTGGGTCCTATCCCAATCCTAATATTTCAGTCAACTACAGTCCAGAAATGTCCAATACTGTCATTTCATACTAAAGCTGTCCAATCTCAACCATAAAGGGAGTATTAAGATCCCAGAACGGGTAGGTACGTGGTCAAAGTACTCCTTATAGTGAATCAGGCAATCCTCATAAGATGTAGCTTTTACAGTCAAGTTATGCCCAGTCGGTTCTCGATTTTAATAAGGTCAATATAAACTTTGCTGGCTATAACAATGAGAATACCTAAATTCCACAGAGGCCGTTTGAAATTTGAACTAGAATAGTAAAAGACAAGGAAGGATTACAAGGTTTTTCAGTCACAGCCAGCGCACACATACACACAAACAAATATTTTGCCTCCAATTTTGAAAGTCAAGTATTTATCAAACATGCTGACAAGTGCACCATCAGAATACACAGGCATTTTAGAAATCATTATGCACCCAGGAACTCTTAATTTCATTTAAAAGAAAATAAATATGCAAAGAAGAAAATTTTGCATTGGACATATACAAATAGTATCTATAAGTGAATGAAGGAGACTAATACTTAATAGTAAGTAGTCACAAAAAAAGAAACTTGTCTTTAGTAAAGATGAATACGTTACTCATGTAATTCCCATGAAACTAAAGAAATATTAACATGCAGTTACTAAAGGGGCACAAAATCTACAGAAAGGGGCACAAAGGCTTAGGAAAATTACATCCATCTGAACTTTGAGACTCTCCTTGTTGAGGCTCTTTTACCTCACAGCATCTGGATGGCGGACACTCAGGAACAGAAATAGCCGCAGGAGGTGTAATCTGTACACCTTCAGTCTGCTGCATACAGCTACTAGAGGAAATCTCTGCCGTGCAGTCTGATGCATCAAAAGTACGTGCCTTAGAGAGTGGAACACGAAAAGTTTTTAATTTCTCGCTGGTCTTGCTTACCATGATTGTTTTGAAACTCTTTTGCTCCCATGTCATTTGATAGTTCATTAGAATGAATAAGGTCAGATGAACCCACATCCTTCTTGTTATCCAGAGGCTTCTCATGTTCAGGAGTTGGAGTTGCAGGAGCAAGAGGCTCTGTAGTGCTCTCAACAAACCCATCTGGCAACGAATCAACTTCTGGAAGCTGATCTGCATCTGGATTCTGCATTTCACCTACATCTCAAGCAACCTTTCTTAGAATTATTTAACTAAAATTAAATGTTAAGTTGTTACAAAAATACTGGGAGGACAATTAAACCACAGTCACAATATAGCTTTAAAATTCTACTAGCATCTACAATAACATTGCAGATTTTTTGTATTGTTATTATAATTATAACAAGCAAAGATGATAGACTGTCGAGACCACCTAAACTAATTCTAAACTTCATCAAGGATTGACAACATTATTTCTACAAAACTCAGAAATCAAATACATTTCAAAAAAATTCTAACAAGTATAACAACAATATTGCATGAATCTGAAATCCAGACCCTTAATATATCAAACAAAGAAACGCCGTTAACAAACCCACAAAGAAAGCTAACAAAACAAACCCAAAAAAAGTTGTTGAAAAAGCAACCAATATATGAGGAGATGAATAATTTCACCCCCGTCATTTTTTAAAATAATAAAAAGAAAAAAGATTTTCCTCTCCGACACCGTATAAAACACGCCCGTCGTCGTTTGGACCAACAGATTGAAGATTAAAGAAAGTGGGCGCATTCAGTGCAAATAGCTCATTTTGGAACAATGAATGATGTGGGTGATTACGAGTTATAGTAAAAATGAAAACTTTAAAAGAAGAAGTGGAATCGGAAAAGGGGAAAATTGAAGGGAGTACCTAGCAGGGATAGAATATAGAAGTGTAAAACAATGAAGAAAATGTATTGTCCGAAGGGGCTTAGGAAGGAGAAGATCCAACAGTGGGTGTGGAAGTGGAGCTCCAGCGAGCACTTTAAAAACACCTGCTGCTTCGCTTTCTCTCACCAAATTTCGCCTTTGTTTCTTCTTTGTATAAATTCGCGATTTTCTTCCCAAAAAAACTGATTTAAAACAACATTACCCCCAAAAAAAATCTCTTTCTGAGTATTTATTTTAAATAGACCTATTTTTTACATTCATATCCAAATTGTTGGGAGCAGAAAAAGAGAGATTTCTAAATTTTAATTTTATGAAATATCATTTTTTTAATTTAAAGTAAATAAATCACTTTATCAAAATCTTAGAATTTCAATTTTTATTTAAATAATCAATTTTATCATAAAGTATTATTAAACTTTCATAATTATTTCTTAAATATTTTGGATAATTTTTTTCATATTTTATTCAATTATTAATTTTTATATTATTTTAATTTCACCATTTTTTTAAGTGAGTCAATTTTATTATTGTAATCAATGGTTAACATATCGATTATATATTGTGTCAGCATCAACCGTAGTTGAATTACTATCACATTTTAAAAAATGAAATTAATACTACTAAAAATAATAAAACAATCAAATATATTTAATAACGATCATGTCTATTAACTATTTATAACAACTTTAAGGAATTTTTATTAATATAATTTTATACTTAAAAAAAATAATTGATTTATACAATATTGACAGTTAGTAGTTTAATAAACCTTGAAGGACACTGACTTAAAATTATTAATTTTATTTTTATAATTAATAAGTTAAATCATTCATTAATTTCTACAAATGACTATATTTTTTAAAAGTTATTAGTTTATTATTATCTTGTATTAAAAATCAACAAATTTTATTCCGTATATTATTAGCTTTATTAATATATATATATATTTTATTTGCTATATTCCATGATGACTCTGGTCATCATTAGTTTCTAGAGTCACACACTATTTATAAATTTAAATAATGACAAATGTGTAAAATGAAAAACACAGTAAATGAAATCTTATAACTATCATTAGATAATCATTTTATTTTGATATATTCAAATCATATATAGTTGACGAAAGTTCATCTATTGTATCATAATTTTTATGTAGATGAGAACGTTTCCTTTGCTATGATGCATGAGTTTCTGGTGAACACTCTTATATCGTTCAATCATCAAGTCCATTTGCTAATTAAGCATGTAGATGACTATTCCTATAATTGGTTAATAACATTCTAATAAATTGTACTGACATGAATGACAGACCAAAAATTTAAAATAAGAACACGAAGTTGACATTCAAAAACCAGACGTGCAGCATAGGACTAGTCCTTATAACACACTGCAACTTACAAAGATGTAACTATTCTCACACTTATACAGAAACACATTATAACAGAAACAGAGCATAAAAATGAAAAAACAGATAGGCCTTGCCACCTTCGATCAAGAACCCAGTTCTGAGAACAAAAGTTGCGCGATGACGGAGCAAACCTGACACAGACACATAATCTGATAAACAAGTGCCTTACATGAAAAAAAGTACTACTACGAACAAGAAACCATTTATTGTAGTGATAGAAATAGAGATTTCTTGATAAACCATCCAGCACAATTCATTTGCCCTTCTTCTGTGCAGCCTTGGTGACCTTCGCTCCAGTGGGGTCCTTCTTCTCCACGCTCTTGATGACTCCCACGGCCACAGTTTGACGCATGTCTCTCACAGCAAAACGACCAAGTGGAGGATATTCGGAGAAGGTTTCAACCACCATTGGCTTAGTGGGAATCATCTTGACAAAACCGGCATCTCCATTCTTTAGGAATTTGGGCTCCTTCTCAAGCTCTTTACCAGATCGCCTATCAATCTTAGTCACAAGTTCGGCAAATTTGACAGCAATGTGGGAGGTGTGGCAATCAAGAACAGGTGCATATCCATTTCCAATCTGTCCAGGGTGATTCATGATTATAACTTGAGATGTGAAGTTTGCAGCCTCCTTGGCAGGGTCATCCTTGGAGTTTGAGGCAACAAAACCACGTTTCAGATCCTTCACAGCAACATTCTTCACATTGAATCCCACATTGTCACCGGGAAGAGCCTCGGTGAGGGCTTCATGGTGCATCTCCACGGACTTAACTTCAGTGGTAAGTCCAGTTGGTGCAAAAGTAACAACCATTCCAGGTTTCAAGACACCAGTTTCAACACGTCCAACAGGTACAGTTCCAATTCCTCCAATCTTGTACACATCCTGAAGGGGTAACCGAAGAGGCTTGTCTGATGGCCTCTTGGGCTCATTGATCTGATCAAGAGCCTCAAGAAGGGTTGGACCCTTGTACCAGTCAAGGTTTGTAGACCTCTCAATCATGTTATCTCCCTCAACCATAACTTTTTTTTCCTTCGTCTCCATTCAAAATACTATTCTGATAAACATATGGGACTGGCCTGACATCGAAGGTTTTCTTACACAATAAAATATACATTATCTTCTTCACAACAAGGCAGAATGTCTAAGTGCTATACCAACTCATCGGATTAACAATATGTACATGTTCATGTGCATATATTTCAAGTGCATGGAGATCAAGGTGTATATACCTTGTTACAGCAGCAAATCATCTGCCTCACACCAAGAGTGAAAGCAAGGAGAGCATGTTCACGAGTCTGTCCATCCTTAGAAATACCAGCTTCAAAACCACCGGTAGTGGAATCGATAATAAGAACAGCACAATCAGCTTGGGATGTCCCAGTAATCATATTCTTAATGAAATCCCTGTGTCCGGGGGCATCAATGACTGTGCAGTAGTACTTGGTGGTCTCAAACTTCCAGAGGGCAATATCAATGGTGATTCCTCTTTCACGTTCAGCCTTGAGCTTGTCAAGCACCCAGGCATACTTGAAAGACCTCTTGTTCATCTCAGCAGCTTCTTTCTCGAATCTCTCAATCACACGCTTATCAATACCTCCAAGCTTATAGATGAGGTGACCGGTGGTGGTCGACTTCCCAGAATCGACATGGCCAATGACCACAATGTTGATGTGAACCTTCTCTTTACCCATTAGTTCTTCAACCTGAAGCTAGAAAGAGCAAAATATGAGATTGTTTGTTTGCGGATTGCAGAAAACCATCATCAAATTCAATTATATGATTCATTATATTGTTTTGCTTAATTGATGGCCCAAGAGTAAAAGAATTAAAAATTATATACATGTGTGGAAAAAAATAATTTTTTAAAATATCTCACTATTTACAGTAAAAAAAAAAAAAGTCAACTCCTATATTTATATGCAACAATTAGTAAAAGAAATTCAAAAAGTTACTCTATTTTCACGCTATCGGTTAATAAATTCGATTTTAGCAGGCATATAAAGTCATAAGTCCCAAATCAGTTCATTAAAATACAAAAGAGAATTAGTTAAGGCACCATATTTAAATTAAATCTATACACTAAACATAAGTCTACGAATCAATAACATACTAATAATCCATGGATAGGAAGAGAAATGAGAAAGATAACGGTGAAAGAAACTGCAATAAAACCCTAGCTAGCCTGAAGAAGAGAAAGTGTGTGCGTAGAAGAAGTGGTTGATTAAGAAGGGTTTATGGACAAATCAAGAAGTGGTTGATTAAGAAGGGTTTATAGACAAATCAACCCTTGCGTATCAAGTCATATATATAGAACATTTTTTTAAGAGAATTTGTAAACAATACCTACCCGTGGGTAGCAAGTAACAAACCACAACCAAGTCTTCCTTTCACAATTCTCACCATCAATGTGAACACACTTAAATAGTATTAAGTGAGTATTAGTTGAGAATATTTATTTTATTATTTTTATTTAAATTATTTATTTTGAGATTTTTATTATGTTTTGATTTTTAAAATATTATTTAGAGAAAAAGATAAAGATATTAGATTATTATTTTGATTTAGAAAATTATGATAAATATATTATTACATTTAATATTGGTTGAAACAAATTATTATTTCAATTTAAGAAATTAAAATCAATACATGATTTTTATTCAATATATAAAATATATTATTATATTGGTTTAAGAAATATATTATTATATTTTTATTCAATATATAAAATATTATGAAAAATTTCATTTATATATATATATATTTAGGTAGTGTTAGTAATAAGAAAAAATATATATGAAAACAAGTATATATAAAATAAAGTAAAAAATATTCTTAATTGTCTAAAAAGAAAGTGAGACAAAAAAAAGAATATTATTTATTTTAAAAAATAATAAAAATTTAAATTTAAATTAAAGATTTATTTTATTAAAAAAATATCTATATATTTTTTAAAGTAATACATTTAAATTATCTATCTTGTTTTTTTAATAATATATATTTTGATATATAATTATAAAATATTTTTTATTATTAAATTATTATTTTTTCTAAAATTAGTTAAAATTAAATATCATATTATAAACAAATAAAAAATATATTAAATTATTTATTTTATTTTTATAATCACCTTATATTTATAATATTTTATTAAAATAATAATTAAATATATACATATATTAAAATTATAAATATGAAAATAATATTTATTTATTTATTTTAAATAACTTTATGAAATAACAATTTTTTTTATTTAATTTCTATTCATAAATGATAGAAAAAAACGTTATAATAAAAAATTATACTTTTTCATATATTTTTATTACCAAACAAAATAAATTAATATTTTCCAATTTTTTATCTACATTTGTTATTTTCCAGTCCAGATTTTCACCTTATTTAATTTTCAAAACCCATTGTATTAACTTTTCAAAACATTTTTTGTAAACATTAAAAACGTGTTAAAAGTACGAGTATTTTTTTTTATTTTGCAAAGATATTGAACGTGGGACTGACATTGCTGAATTAAGACTAAATGTTAAATTTAAATTTTATGAATATAAAAATATGATTTTGAAAAAAAAACTATTAAATAATTAGCTAACTTTTTAACAAAAATTAATAATGAATAAAATAAGTCATAATAATAATATAGTTACCTAAATCTATTTTAATACATGAAAAAAATATATATCAAAAGAAAAAGATGAAACAATTATTAAAGTATAAGAGAAATATCAAACACTAGGTAAGGATTAAAAAGAATAAAGTAAACTTTCATCACGTCTGTTCGTAAAATAACAATAAAAAACAATTAAAATAAAAATTCATGATGATGTTTACAAATTGATATAAATTAGATTAAAATACCAGTTTAATTTTTTTTTCTCTCAAGAAGCTAAGGAGTTATATATATATATATATATATATATATATATATATATATATATATATATATATATATATATATTATAAATAATATCTCTAAATATAATAAAATATATCATAAATTTTAAAAGAAAATACATAAAAGTTATAATAATATAATTAACATCGAAGTAATAAAATGGATCAATCTTATTATCTTTTAATTAATGTAATCTTTTATCCACGGAAGTTATTGATTAATCATTACAATCATGATAAATTATAGAATTTGACTTTGACTTACCAACAAACTAATGGAATAGTACGTAATCTAAATTTTTTATATGCAATTTAAAAAAAATATTTTAAATTATATTAATATTTTAAAAATTTTATTTGATAAATTATAAAAATTACTAAATATTCATATTAAAATATTAATATATAATTAACAATTCAAATATAATTTATTAATATTTATCATTTAAATTATAATAATATAATATATTTATATATTCTAATACCATATTTAACTTGAAAAATCATCTAATCTATTTTATCATTAACTTGTATAATTTTAATTTTTTTTATAAATGGTTATAATTCGGTTAAATAATATGAATAAATAAACCTTGTAACTTTGTAACAATTTATAAATTCGACTTTAATATCTAAAATAAAATAAAAAATCATGAAGTTTGAGAAAATATGTGTTTAGTCGAGAAACACTAAACTATACAATTAAAATAATTTAAATAATGTTTTCAAATACCAAATTTGCTGTTTAAATCACTAGTACACTTGCAAGTGTAAAATATATATTTTAAAATAACTATTCACGCTCTTAAAAACTAAAATAAAATTTATACAAATTTTGAGGTTTTGAAAACATATTCAAGAAAGAAAAAAAATAAAAAAATAAAAATCTAGCTGTTTTAGATCAAGCTAAAAGATAGAAATAAAAATAAAAATTTCAAAACTAGTATATATATAAACAGGGATGTTAAAAATCAAACCGATAAAAAAATATATCTATAAATTAATAAAAATTTATAATAAAAAGAATTTAAAATAGATCAAAATACCAAAAAATAGATCAAAATACTGGAAACTGATTAAAATTAATATTTTAACAAAATTTTATCATTTTTTTATAAATAACACAGTTTAATTATATATCTAAAATTAATTAACAAATAAATATATATAATAATGTATTATTTGAATATATTTAAAATAATACATATAATAATTAACAAAAAAATACGCTATATGTTTTTATTTTAAATTATTTAATAGTTTTTACTATAATATTATTTTTAATTTTATATTATATTAAAAATAAATCAAATGAAATCAAATTTCAATTTCAAGTATAATTTCGACAATTAGTTAGTGAAAAAACAAACTTAATTCATATAGGTAGGTTACCGTATGAAATACCAAATGAAACATATAAAGTTCTATTATAGATATTTTTATTATTATAATTATTATTTTTTAATTATAATAATAATAAAAAAATTATATAAAAATTTTGTTATTATTATTTATAATAATAATAATAATAATTAATAATAAGATAATAATATCATTATCTTATTATTAATAGTAGAATAATATTTATAATTGTTATTAATTATATTAATAAATATAAAATAATTTTTATTATTTATTTTATTATTAATTATAATAAAAATAATATGAATAAAATAAAATGGTATGTTGATGTTCTTTTAGAGGTTAACATTGAGTTTTTAAAAATAGGTTGGGATATCCATATATTTATGGTGTGGGTTTTGGTTTGATCCCTCATATATTTTGTATTTTTTTTATATTTGTGTAAAAATAATTACCTCGTATATTTTGTATTTTTTTCTTTATTTTTTATATTTGTATAAAAAAATTAATATTTGGTGTAGGTTAACATGATTAAAATATGTTTTACGTTAGGCGGTCACATATAATCTTATTAAAATAATATATAAATAAAATAAATAATAATTAAATATATTTAAGTTATTATTATAGGTTATAATAATATTAATTTGTATAATATAATTATAATAATTATTAAAATATAATAATTAAATTAATATAAAATTATAAATTTATTATTATAAATAATAATAACAAATTTTTATTACATAATTTAATTATTATTACAATAAAAAAATATTTACATTATTAATATAATAATATTATTAATAATTATAATTTTTTTAATATTATTAATAATAAATAATATAATAATTATCAGTTTAATAATAATAATATAAATTTTAGTTTTATTATTATTTGTTTTATTAATAATATGAAAATTATTATTAATTATAATTATAATAATAATAATAATAATGATAATAATACTATTTTTAAATAAATTTATATAGAAATTATGTTATCTAATATGGTTTGTATTTAAATCTAAAAACTAAATAATACATTTTTAAATTATTATACAAATTATTTTAATGTATAAATTATTTACTATGTTAATATGTTTTTTTTAAGTATATGGTTATTCGCATTTTGTAATTTTTTAGATGATTAAAATCACAATAATTATCCAACGGAATAAATATTTGGTTTTATTATCTACATACACGATAAAAAACAATAATTATTTTATTTATTTATTTATTTATTTTCTTCTATAATTTTTCTAATAATTTAAATTATAATCATATATATATATATATATATATATATATATATATATATATATATATATTATTGCCGCCTTCTTATTATAATGCAAAATTTATAACTTGCTTTTGCCATTTTAATGATCTTTCAGGAAACGTAATAATATTTTTAACATTTTGAAATTCATCAAGTGGAAAACTTTGATACTGTTTTTTTTTTCAATAAAAACTTTTTTTTCTGGAAATAGAGTTATATATATATATATATATATATATATATATATATATATATATATATATATATATATATATATAAGAATGAGAAAAACAGAGGAAAAAAGACTATAAAAAATTATATTTATTATTGTACTATTTTTATGTATGAGTTGAGAAAAATAATTATTAATACTCATCATCAATGCATGTTATATTAACCGATAAATATTTTGCATTATGCATTTATACGCTGTTAATTATACCTTGCTCTCACGTTAAATTTCAAAGGAAAGTTTTTGTTATTAATTGGTTGCTTTTAAATAAAAAATAATACAAATTATCATCTCATGAATAATAATTTAGATAAAGAGATAATATATTGCTTGAAATTAAAAAAAAAAGTAAATAAAAGAGATAAAAAGTCATTTGTATAATTTTTATATATGTATTAGAAAATAAAATAATTTATAAAACCCCTTTCACTTCAATTTCTAAAAACAAAAAAATTAACTTGTGATAAAATATTTTTTACCTATACAAAATTTGTTCTAATTTTTTTTTTATGAATACTTACAGTTTTTTTTTCAAATATACTCTTTTTATATGTCATATTATTTAATACATGACTTAGCTCCACTTATACATACACCATCAATTTTGTATTTTATGGTTTCGGCTGAGTTAAAATTCAAATTTATGCATTATTATATCGAACACTCTTAAATTTGTGATTTTTTTTGTTTAAATTGCAAGAGAGATATATTCATAACTACAAAATTAAAAGTATTTTTCTCACTGCTGCTAAAATATCTTATTATTATAAAAATTAAGGATGTTTTGTTTTTAAATTATATATATATATATATATATATATATATATATATATATATATATCATTCCATGTGTATCTAGTGAAATTATAAATAAGAATAAATCAATAAATTTCTATTTTATTAATTATCCAATTAAATGATAATCTTAATTTCCTTATTTTTAACAAATACTTGAAATTTTAATCAAACAGCGAGGCTAGCAAGAAACTCACTATATCATTATTAAAATCTTATTTTATTATTCAAAATAATTTTTTAAAATAAAAATTTTTATCCTTATAATTTTATATATTTGTTACTGATAAAGTATTTTAAAATATTGTTTAGTTTTAAAATGTTACACGTTTTTACAAATTGATTCAGATCTTATGAAAAATAACACACCAATACTTGCTAGTATTAAGTTTTTAAAGAGTTTAATGGATATTTATTACTAATAAACAATTATTAGTATATTTGTTAAGATAATTATTGTAAAAGTCATTAAATTTACCATATATAGTTGTTTTACTTTAAAAGTTAAGCTATCAATACACAGTATTTTCTTTTTTAGGTTCCATATTTTAAGAGAGATTTACATTTTAATTAGTGCATTGTGATTTACTGTATACTTCTTTTAAATCCTTAGCTGAGATGATATATTTTCATGAAAATGATTTCAACATAAAAAGATAAAGTCAAAGCTTAATTATGTTTTATATATTTAAAAACCATGCGTCACTGTTCATAAACTAAGGAAAAGTCACACAAACACTATATCTTACAGAAAATCCATTAAATTCCTCTGACTTAAGAACGTTCTAATAATTTCATTTGACGCGGTTTGAACAATTTTATTTAAAAATTGAATTCTAGAAAAGTATATATATTTCCATGCAGTAAGATTAAGAATTTTCCCAACCTAAATGTACCTGAATTAATTACAATTTCTTAACAAAATAATGTAAACAACATATATATCATATTAATTAATTAAAGTATTTAAATTTTGAACGTAACTAAATAACTTATCTAAACTTAATGCGTATTATATTATATTTATAAATTTAACTAAGTTGTACATGTTACGCTGGACCAACCCAATTTTGTTGTATCAATAAAATCTTAATACTAGGTAATATTTAACTTGAAAATAATTATCTACTGAAATACTACCACATTCCTTAATTTCTCAATATGATTCTATACTAATGAATCACGTTATCATTAACAAAATATTTAATGTCCTAAATGGTTGAACTGGAAAAGCAAACAGCATTCCCAAATTGTGGGGCATGTTTTCTTAAGTTTCAAATGGTAAATATTTGGATCATATATGAATAAATATATATATAACCAGTCACATGGATAACAATTAGTCATATCAAAACCAGTGTTTGTCCCCACAAAACAACAAAAAACAAGTCAATATGAATGCACATCATTGAGTGTAAGCAGAAAAGAGGAAGAGTGTATAAACTGCTTTGCTGAACATGCCGGCTCCACATACATCAACAGTGCCAAATATCTCATAAATTAAGTGCCTCCATGAGACCTTGGTTTTGACTTCACACACAAGGTGCCAAACACAAACTTAACTCAGACATGTGGACACAACCTACAGCAGCCTCCATTAAACTAATAACAAAATTCTAGAATCAGAGAATTGTTTTATCCCCATGCATATGTATAGTTTCATCTAGAAGCACTCTGAATAATGATCAATATTATAAGACCTCCTTTTGAGCCTGCTCTTCTAGATGGTTCATCAATCTGTTAAATTCGAGTGTCTTTTTTATCTTTTTTATTTCTTTTCATCTAGATGATATAGACTTTATGTCTGTATCAATACCTTTAACTTCTCTCTCTCCTCTCTAAATCTCTTCCATATATATTGGCAAGATTGAACAGATCAAGACACTCACAAGCAGAAAACAAAACACTTAGAAAATTATTATTCACTCTCTGTGTTTATTATATATTCCCTTTTGTTTCTTTCTTACAGAAAATATACCGATGGCGGTTAAAGAGTTTCACTCAGATCAAGAAGCAGGAAATGAAGAAAGCACCCTACTGCAGCTAGATCCATACGAAGAGGAAGAAGAGACCCTCTCTCTTTGTGACCTTCCTATTTACAGTGGCTCCATTAATTCAGCTAAATGGGATGGTGATTTCTCAAAAGAAGATGAAAAAAGCTTTGGTGATGACGATGATAATCTGTTCGAGTTCTTCAGTGAAGAATTCACCACTTCAAGTAAGAGTGCAGTTGCAGAGAACATAATCTTCTGCGGCAAACTCATTCCCTTCAAGGATATTCCTCCACGTGTTGATGAAAGCCACAGCACTGCACGCGGGAATGTGCAAAAGGGTATTGCAAAACGCGGTTTAAAGGGTTCAAAGAGTTTTGCATGTGACTACACGTCGATGGGGAAGGTGTCGCTGGTGAGGAGCACCACCAAGTCCAGGTGGTTTTTGTTTATGTTTGGGATGTCCAAGTTGTCGAGCACTACTGAGATGGAGCTGAGGGACATCAAAAGCAGACAGAGCCGGAGGGAACCGGCGGCGATGTTTCCGGCGACGGAGGACGGCGAAGAAGATGCCGTGAAGGGGAAGAAGAGAAGCTGTAAAGGGATGTGGAAGTTGTTGAAGTCAATCACCATGGTCTTAGGTTGCCGCAGTAGTAAGCTTGCAAACGACGTCGTAAAGGCTGCTTTGGTGTGAATTTTCAACATCACACACCAGCCTCTACAACATGCACCTGCTTCATGAGTTTAATTTATATACACTATTATATATTAAATGGTATTTCATCTTGTTCTCATTATAGAAATAGAAAAATGTGGTAAAATGATAGAGCATTATTAAATATATATGTGGGTAAAAATATTGTGCATATGAATTAAACTCAAAGATTCAGTTAATTAGTTACTCCTATATATAGATAAATAAAGAGGTGAGAGAAATTGTGTTTGTGGTTAGTTGATCATTGTAGCCATCAAGGAAAGAAAAAAGAATCGACGTTCTTGTCTTGTGCTTTTTTGCAGAAACTAACGACTTTTGTTCTTCTTCTTTTTGGTCTCACAAAATTATCTCGAAAGTCAAAACACGCGCAAATCGAGATTCATGGTTATATTTAATTCGGTCGTGAAAATTGGTAAGAAAGCCATTCACGACCAAATAAATAAGCTACTTTTAAAATGTTTTTATACTTACGAACAAGATAAATAAATTTCTTTATTCATAAGCTAAAACTAATTTATTTGTGGGCTACTTCTAAAAATGTGTTTATTGTTTAACTTTGTTAAAATCAGTTTTCTAATTTATGCATAATAGTGTAGAAATTACATTTTTTTTTTGTCAAACAGGTCCAAAATGTGCATTATGTGAAATATTAATTGAATAGAATCACGCATGGATTACTGTAATTAAAGAAACTAATAATCTCATTTAATTAATTTATGATAGATGTTACTTCTCAGTTAATTCTAACCATCAATACCTTTTTTTTTTATATATATTTTCTGTTCATGACAACATTAATTATTATCACTGCTACAGATATGCCTTTCAACGTCGGTTATATAAGGCTTTCAACGTCGTTTATACAACCGACGTTGTATCAGGCGACGTTGAAAGTATACACTTTCAACGTCGGGTATAGATAACCGACGTTGAAAGTTTAGGCTTTCAACGTCGGTTATTCATACCCGACGTTGAAAAGTGTATATTCGTCGCTCAAGCGAGTACAATCGTCGCTCAAGCGAAATGGAACCCGAGAGTCCCCTTTGTTTGAAGCTATCGTCGCTTAAGCGAGTACACTCGTCGCTCAAGCGAGATGGAACCCGAGAGTCCCCATTGTTTGAAGCTTTCGTCGCTTAAGCGAGTACACTCGTCGCTCAAGCGAGATGGAACCCGAGAGTCCCCTTTGTTTGAAGCTATCGTCGCTTAAGCGAGTACATTCGTCGCTCAAGCGAGATGGAACCCGAGAGTCCCCTTTGTTTGAAGCTTTCGTCGCTCAAGCGAGTACAATCGTTGCTTAAGCGAGTACGTGTTTACTACGTCGGTTATGGTATGAACCGACGTAGAAAGTCTTTTTTTTTTTTTAAATGGACGCTTTGTTTATACAGGGTACCCAATGTTTGTATATATACATACCTGCAAATTTGAATACAACACAGGCAGACAATGTACAAGATATAAACAATTGAATGTGCATCCAAAAATAAAATTGTATCCAAAATTATAGTGTATCCAACTACTTATCTACCAAATACACTAACTACTAATCTAACTAATAAACTAACTAGTAAAGTAACTAAAGTAACTACTAAACTAACTACTAAACTAACTACTAAACTAACTACTAAACTAAGTACTAAATTAATAACTAAACTTGCCTACTTCTAACTTTAACAAACTTATCGGCCCATGTGTTTCTAATATCGTCAATGGTCTCTATGGGCAATGCTTCCCTGTCTGAAAATACCTGTTACAAGAAAAAAGATAATTTAACAGAGTATCCAATGACACAATACTTGGGTCTTTTATTGAATACTAAATTTAAGCAAACCCGATTCCATGTATCCTTAATCTTGCTAACAACAATCAGCCACATCCAAGTGCATAACATAATATCCGCACTCATAAGATCCTGGTTGCCTATTACACTACAAAAAATAATATATTAATTTGACATATAAAATGAATGATATAATACATTAACAAAAATGACTTACATTAACAAAAATCCAATCTGAGTCGTGCTTTTGCTTGTGTGTACTCCATCTTGTATTGCAAACCTTAAATGCACTCGTGCAATACAAGATATAATGAAACAATTAAGTAACAAAATAATTAATAATTGTTTAAATTATTATAAGAATGTGTACCTGTTTACAATGTTTTTAAGATCTGCATCAGGTTTCTTGCCCAGATGAGCGTGAACCAAGCCACAACATTCCGCTTTGGGCAAACAACCAACAACTGCCAATGATTTACGCTTACATTACAAAAAGTTAGGATAATACAATACACTATAAAATTTAATGCGAATAATTTCATACGCTTAAATACTTACCGATGGTGGTAAGCACCCAAGTAAACTTTCTTCCTTGACTTCATCATCCAATTTTGGATGTATATTTGAACTTCTTCTCTCTTGTTTCCCGATTTTTGTATGGATTGGGGCTCAAAAAATCCATACACATCTTGGGTGCGTTGTTCCTCCGACAATTCATTCATCATCCTAAAGTAGCCAGTTCAATGTATATTAAATATGACGATAACTTCAAATAATATAATTAGTAAATAAAAATAAATACTTACATTGTCCAAAATTGTAACACTGCTATGTTTAGACACTGATTGCCAACTGCTATCTCCACAGCATCGGTGTGGTCAATGTAAAGGGGAAAGTGCTTATTGTCTACCCCTAACATATCTAGATGACTCCAATATGGAAGGTTAAAAAAAATTGATCTCTTTTTCCACAACCTTTTATCAGACGACTGTTTTTTAGTCTTTCCAAAGACAACATTAATGTTTCTAACCCGTTCATAAACTTGTTCACCAGTTAAAGGTTGTTTGGCAATTTTATCTTCCTGCTGACCATTAAAAGCTTTCTTCAATCTTCGATATGGGTGGTTATGTGGAAGAAATTTTCTCGTGCCTATTATACACAGCCTTTTTTCCATGCTTCAATTGTAGAAAACTTGTATCTTCCTCACAAATAGGACAAGCATGATGACCCTCGACACTATACCCACTCAAGTTTCCATATGTCGGGAAGTCATTGATAGTACAAAATAACATTGCATGTAACTTGAAGCTCTGCTGTTGATATGCATCAAACACATCCACTCCTTCCTCCCACAATAGCCTTAAGTCATCTATTAACGGACTTAGATAAACATCTATGTCATTACCCTACTGTCTTGGACCCGCAATCATGATGGATAACATCACGTACTTGCGCTTGAAAATCAACCATTGTGGAAGGTTGTAAATCACTAAAAGAACTGGCCATGAGTCGTGATTACTCGGTTAAGTTACCAAAAGGATTCATGTCGTCTGTGGCTAGTCCAAGTCTAACATTTCTTGCATCACTGCCAAAACTTGGAAATAGGCAGATCAATTTTCTTCCACTATGGAGAATCTGCCGGATGACGAAGCAATCCATCACGTTTTTGTGCAGCTTGAATGCCATATCATATTCTTGGCATCTTCTCCATTGGCAAACAATCGCTTCAATCTTGGAATAATTGGAAGATACCATATAACTTTTGCAGGAGGTCTCTTTCTATCAATACATTCGCTATTATCATCCTTGTCTTTCAATTTGTAACGCGATACACCACATCTTGGACACTCATGTAGGCTTTCAAACTCTTTTCTCGTATAATACACAATCATTAGGGCAAGCATGTATCTTTTTATACTCGTAAACCCATTGGACAAAGTATTTTTTTGGCTTCATACATACGATCGGGCAAGGTGTTATCGCTTGGGAGCATATCTTTCAAAACTTCTAGTAACTCGGTGAAACTTTTATCACTCCAACCAAATTTGGCCTTCAAATTCACCAATCTCAATACAGCTGACAATCGCGTGAATGTTGTACATCCAAGCATACAGAGGTATCTCTGAATCTATCTTCAATTTATCATAGACAAGCAAGCATGTGCTTGCGAGAAAATTCTCTTGACCTACATCACGAATCATGTCTTCTATTCGATCTTCCATTGTCATATCCTCCTCTTCCTCGACTTGTGTTACTATTGGTGTATCAATCACTTCACCATGCCATGTCCATAGGATATAATTCTTCATTATCCCATCACATAAAAGATGTTCCCGTATTGTCTCTAGTGTGTGTACTCTCCCATTAACGCAGCTTAACGCATGGACAATACAATTTTCCATTAACCTTGGTGTCATTGTGTTCGGCAAATCGCAAAAATTCTTCAACTCCATTCTCATACTCTTGTGAAATACGACTTGCATTTACCCAACTTCGATCCATTTTGGAATTAGAATCTACAAATGAGAAACCCATAAAACGATTATTACTAATAATCGTTATCTCTAATGAAATCTATACCAAAGTAGATTAATTTGTAACGAAATTTCAACAGAATTTCGTCTATTTTTTGGTCAAAACCAAAATTGTATAAATTGAAATTATAGAGTTTTCATTGTTACTACCATCACTTATATAACTACATTGTTATATGTAGTTTTCAAATTCACACTTCATGATTAATTTCTAACAAAAATCCGACAGAGTTTCCTTTGTTTTTTGGCAACAATTTTAAATGACACAGTGAAACCCGACAATAAAAAGCCCCACGGGCATATTCAAGCAGTTCAAGTATAATTGTACACATCATCAATACATTGAAAAAAACTATAATATGACTAAGAATTGAATCAACAGCTAACGGCAAATGACTAACAATCTCTACCTATGAAATGTAGTAAGTAAAATTGTATGACTTTGCCCAACAAATATAAGTGCAACAACAACGTACTCGTGGTTTAAGGCAGCGATGAAGGTTCGCACCACGTAGAAACGAGAGCAGTCACGCACCGGGGTGGAGGTGGAGGATGCAATGCGGCGTTAGGGTCGAGGCCGTGGTGAGCGGACAATGCAATGTGGGTGGAGGCTGCGGTGGGGGTGGAGGGTGGGCGACTAGCGTCGCGGTGGGGTGGAAGCCGCAGGTGGGGTGGAGGTGCTCTGCGGCGGGGTGTCACGCGGTGCGCGGTGGCGACGTGAGGGAGGGCGTCCGGAGAGTCCAAATGACGGTGGTAGGTGGTGGCCGCGATGCTTCGGAGAGTAAGAGGAGTGGGCGCGATGTCGGAGAGTAAGGGGAGATACAAAAATGCATATGGTAGCCTATTCAAATGGGAAAACGGGGTTTCGACGTCGGTTATACCCACACCCGACGTTGAAACTCGATTTCCATATGTTTTAATCGATTGAAACGAGATTTAATCGATTAAAATAGTTCTGATCGGTCATAACTGGATTCTGATCGATCATCCTGACCCTTTAAGAGATTTTAATCGATTGAAACGTGGTTTTAATCGATTGAAAACCTTCTGATCGCTCATAATTAAAATCTGATCGATCACATTCGATTCTGATAGGTCATATTTGTATTCTGATCGGTCATAATGAGTTCGTAAGGGTTTTCAACGTCGGGTGAGGGCATAACCGACGTCGAAAGCCTACTTTTCCACGTCGTGCATGCTAAAACGACGTAGAATGTGTCAAAATTTGACTTTCGACGTCGGTTGTTGACCAACCGACGTTGAAAGCATGTTCAACGTCGGCTAAAATGTAACCGACGTTAAACAGCGACGTTGAAAGTATATTTTCTAGTAGTGTATTTCTATTTATACTCCCAAGTATTACCTACTAATTTAGATATATCAATTTATTACAATATATCAATTTATTACAATATTTATAATTATTTTTATTTCTATATCACAATATATATAATTAAAATTTAGCTAAAAAAACATAAATATATTATAATAATATAAATAATATTATCTTAAAAGTTAAAAATGACTCTTAATAAAAAGAAAGAGATCAGAGTATAAAAAAAAAAAATCTATGGCGATGGGTTAATTTTTTAACTATTTTGTAGTGTCTACATTCCTCTACGAGTTTTCTCTAATATTTTTGACTATTTTCTTTTTAATTACTTTTTATACACAATTTTTACCATTTTATTTTTATTTTTAATAACTAAATTTTAATTAAATTAACTAATTTTATTATTATAAAAAGTATGGACATAAACACTATTACTATTAATAAAGGATTGTTTTTTTTAACTATTTTTTTATATATTTATTTAGATTTTACCATATTTGGTAACTGTTTCTCTGATTTATTTTATAACCATTTTTTACACAATTCTTACATTTTTACCATAATATTTTAGTAATGGTGTAATAACTTTTTTTATTATTATTATATCAACTAATTTTTATTATTATGTTCCACAAGTAACACAGAAAAGTCAACATATGTAGACATATACGTTAAGATTGTTTTATTTAAAAATACATGACTCATATTTGTGTAATAAAGGTAGATCGTTGAATACTAAAAATTTGACGTATTTTGAAAACATGGCATGAAAAATAATTGTTGTAATATACTAATATTTAACTCACTCCGAGGATACCTAGGAATATACTATTTATAAAGGGTGGACCAAACCAACCGTTATGGTTGGAGATCGTTTGCTTCCAAACCCAAAATTGTTTAACTGTTTCTTTTCATTATGTCCAGGTTTGAATAATTTTCAATAAAAATCTTATAAGCTGAGTTGTAAAAAAAGGGACATTTATAATTGCTTAATCTAGAAATTGACATTTTCATCAAATAGGAAAAGAATTATCCGTTTTCAATTTTTTTTAATATATGATCACCAAATTATTGGAATTAGTTAACAAGTCAAGTAATTAACGGTTTATTATTCAGAAATAAAAAGACTTAAAATGAATGTGAGTTGGAATTTATTTATATTTTTCATTTGGAAAAGTAAAACTAAAAATCCAAGACCATGAGGAAAATAGACAGCGAGAGTTTGTTATTTCGTTAAGATTTTGTTTTTTCTTTGTTTTGTTTTGGTACGCTGTTATTTATAATTATGAGCGTTAAAATTAGGATTTTCGCATTCCGTGTAGGGCCCCACTTATCCTGACACCCAATCCTTGCTGTAATTGATTCATTCATCGTTGAAGTTTTCTCCTTTTCCTCCTTTTTGTCCTTTCTTCCTCTTCACAGGGAATGTATGTACCTTAATTTGCAGAGAGTTTTGTGATTCTTTTGCTAAGGTGTTTGGAATGTGAAACATTTTGGTTTTATCCTCTTTCTTGTGCTTTTTGTCCCTTCTGATCCATGTTTTTGTACCTTTTGAATCATGATGTGTTATGTGGCTTTGATGGTTTTTGAATTATGTTATCTGGGTTCTTCTCATTCTCCATTTTGTATCTTGCATTCTTCTGTTCTGTTTGTTTCCAATGTAACCGGCTGTTCACAGTTGGTGCTTTTGATTTTGTTTTTGAACTTCTGATGGCGTTTTGAATGATGTTTATGGCTTCTTCCTCGTTTGATCATCATTCCCATTGCATTAATGAATCCGAAGAAACTTATTGGTTTTTATTTGAACAGTTTTTTTTTTTCTAGACAGTTTCGGTTTGTAGTGCTTTTCATTAATGTGTTTTGGATGAAGTTCTGTCTTCTTTAACAATTTGGTCTGAATTCAACGTGCAGTAAATTTGAACACATCAGAATTTACTTACTTCTTTCACAACTTTTTTTCATTTATTTTCTTTATGTTTGAATGAAGTTTGGTCATTTTATGTTATTAATTCAAATCTATTTCTCATAATTTTGCTAGACAAAGGAATTGCACATGGGGAGGAAAGGGTGGTTTTCTTCAGTGAAGAAAGTTTTCTTTTCTGAATCCAAAAAGGATCAGGTTTGTGAATAACTCCTGTTACATTGCCTCTGACATCAATAAAAGAAAAAAGTTTTCCTGAAATCGGATACTATTCTCATGCAAAACAATTTTGTTTGTTCGTATATAACAGAAACATCCTCATCCTCATCGTCATCAACATCAACAACAACCACAACCACAACTTCATAAGTCAAAGTTAGGATGTTTTGGGGCTTATCACCCAGAGGATCTAGAAGGGGCACCGATTGCCATTGTTCCATCACTTCCTCCTAGAAAAGACACCACAGCAAGAGGTGTAGCAGAGAATGAACAGAACAAGCAAGCCTTTTCTTTGGTTTTGGCTACTGCTGTGGCTGCAGGGGCTGCTGTGGCTGCAGCTGCGGAGGTATCTCGTCTCTCAAACACGCCTCGTCAAAATGTGACAGTGAAACAAGAAGTGGCTGCTATCACGATTCAAACAGCGTACCGTGGATATTTGGTATGGACTTTTACCAAATCCTAATTATTTAGAACAATGCTACACAAATGAAATAACCAATAACATAAAGGTTCATGCCATTCAAAAATCATTTAGTTTGTTTTGTTGTGGGAAGAATTTGTATCTGTGCTGCAACAACATTGAACTTCTGAGAAATTTTTGTGTAATAATCGTTCTATGTTGTGGGGGTTTCAGGCAAGAAGATCCTTCCGTGGCTTGAGAGGTTTGGCGAGGTTGAAAACATTGGTGCAAGGGCAATCTGTTCAAAGGCAAGCGGCTACTACCTTGCAATGCATGCAAACTCTTTCACGGTTGCAGTCTCAGGTTCGTGCAAGGAAGGTCAGAATGTCTGAGGAGAATCAGGCTCTTAACCGGCAACTACAGCAGAAACGTGAAAAGGAAATGGAAAGATTGCAAGCTAATGTAAGCACTTTGAGTATTTGTATGCAAGTTATAGGGAAGACATCAATTAGTTATGCAAATACGATTGTGATGTATATTTGTCACAAAGAATGTCGCTTGTATAATAATGCTTCTGTTTTATTACTAGTGAATGTGTGGCAATATTTTGTTAATTGTTTCCCCCTTTTTTGCTCATTATGAAAATATAATATTGATATGCTAATGTTCTACCGCCTTTAAATTTTGTTCTAAAGTGGCAAATGCTTTTTCAGCAAATTGGAGAAAAATGGGATGATAGCTCGAAATCAAAGGAGCAAGTTGAGGCAAAATTGTTGAACAGACAAATAGCAGCTATGAGAAGAGAGAAGGCTATGGCTTATGCATCAACACATCAGGTAAGAAGAGACTGCCTTTATTCTAGATTCTAATGAAGCAACAGAAACAAGTTTTAGATTTACTTACATTGTGATGCCTACTATCTAAGCCCATGACAAAGGAGTCGATTTTGATTTTCTTACGTTAGTCAATTGTTCACAGTTGTTAACAAATAATGAATGTAGCATTTTGTTGAAAAATGAAAACTAGAACATAGGCTAAAAATTCATGTGTAGACTAGTAAAATATAAATGATCTCCTCCTAAGTATAACCACTTTCTCTCTCGCTCTCTCTCTCTCTCTCTCCCCAACAGCAAACATGGAGGAACTCTTCAAAGTCTGCTACAAATGCCACATTTATGGATCCATACAATCCCCACTGGGGCTGGAACTGGCTAGAGAGATGGATGGCTACAAGGCCATGGGAGGGCCAAAACACTACCTATCATATTGGTCATGCATCTGCCAAGAGTGTTTCAAGTAACACCATGTCAGTTGGTGAAATCACAAAATTATATACTCTCCGTGATCAGAACAATGGTTTCAAAACCTCCCCAGCAAACCAAAAAGCAACTCGTCCTTACAGCAACAATTCCCCTACAAAAGCAGCCTCAAAGATCCCACCAGCGAATGGAACAAGGGTTGGTTCATGGGGTGGCGATGGCGATTCAAAATCCATGTTCAACCAAATCTTAGAAAACAATCGCAGGCACAGCATTGGAGTGTCACAAATGAGAGATGACGAGAGCCATTCAAGCTCTTCACCTGCTTTTCCCAGTCACACAACACCATCAACCAAGGTTGCAAAGGCCAAGCCATCATCCAAAGTGAGAAGTGCATCCTCTGCTGCACCAAAAAATGGAACTCCTGAAAAAGCACCTCCAGCTCCTCTAAAGAAGAGACTCTCATTCCCTGCTTCTCCAGCTGGTACAAGAAGATATTCTGTTTCAACCAGGCCGGGAAATGTGGCTTCCTATAAGAGTGTTGTCACTGCTAACATCCCTGAGGAGAAAATGAGAGTGAGAAGGTAGAGATGCTCACGCATGTCATTTGTGTACTTAGAATAGAAACATGAATGAAGATGAATCAAATTATAAAAGGTGGCATTAATATCTTGTGTAGTTGTCTTTTCTTCACAAGCCATGTTGTTGGAGCCATGGGGAGGAAATGGAATAAAATTTGGCTGATCAAGTATTCATTTGCTTCCTACAGTTGTCTTCATACCCAATGCAGATAACTTTTTCTTTTACTTTGTACTAAACTCTATGTAGTAGTTCTATTTCTCATGTTATACATGTACCAGGATTATTGGTTTTGGGGGCCTCATACTAGTTTCATCGCAATATATATTTCTTTATCTAAACATGTAATGCATTATTTACCCCGGGTTGTAAAGTTTATTCTCTTACACCACTCAAGGTTGTTTCCTAGACCATGCTATATTTATTCTCCATGTTATGTTTTTGAGAAATATCGATTTGGAAAACCGTATAATATGCCACAGTTCCATAAAAAATAAAAATAAAAAATACAAGCTGGTGTCATTACGTTGCATCCTATAACAGAAGTTAAGTTTGAGCATGTGAATTTGGAGGATAAAATTGGAAGTATAATTCATAATTCTAGTTTCATCTTCAAAATTCTTAAGAATGAAGATTTATTAAATGCATTTCTTATTTGATGAAATATCATGGTAAGAAAAGAATGATGAGATGATGTGAAGAGTGGGACTTGACAGCGGGGAATTACAAGATGTCGGTGAGAATGGTGGTGAAAGGATACCAACGACCACCCATTGGATTGGTGATGGCGGTTTTAAGACTTTAACCAACGTTGACCTGATAAAATGTCCTTGAGACAACAATAATGGTTTTCAGAATATGACAATGACAATAATAAAGTATATATGAAATATTGATTAGCTTTTTTCCAAAATCTTTTGTAATTGATGTTTTTGGGAATAAAATTGGGTATTCTATTTTTGTAAAATAAATTTCTAATTAGTACAAACACTTTTTATTTTTTTGTAAGTTTCATTTTATTATTTATCTGCACTGTTTTATTTACACTAAATAATAACTGTTAATTAAAACTCAAAATTATTACCTTTTAAAGTGTAAGAAAAATATTTAAATATTTTTTTTCGATTTTTTACTCATAATTCCTTAATTTTTGTATATTTATATAAATTTTTAATATTTATAATATATTAACTTTTTAGTTGAGATCTATTGTTTCTTAAAATGTAAAATGTATTGAAATAGAATTTATTTCTTACAATCCAATAAGTTGTTACTATATAACTCTTTTTAAACAAAGATTCTGAAACAATAGCATCAATCTAGACTTTTAATTTTAAATTTCAGACAGATTTTAAGTTGTATTTATTTGAAAGATTTTTTTTTATATATTTTTTTTAACTTTTCCTCATGTAAGGAGAAATGCAACATAATACACCTTTTTTGAAAACTTTAAATCTGATAGGATATAAAATCAATGAAATAAAAAATTTCACCCAGTTTCTTGAAACAAAAAAAAAAAATTCTTTTTTTCATCATTAAGTCTCATGAAACAACTTTCAACTTTAGTCATGCAACAAAATATGTTAAAAGAGTAAATGATATTCAAGTCTTATTAATAATTTCTTTTCATTTTCATTTTAAAAAACTATTCATTATATATATATGTGTGTGGAAACATCATAATTTAATCAATTTACTTGACCTAAACACCCAATAATTACTATTTTCGTACCTATTTATAATTTTTTCTACATTCATCTATATAAATAGATTTTTTTATAATTGTTTTTTCATATTTTTTATAAAATAATATTCTTTTTTATCAAATGTATTAAAAGAAAAAATATGATAAGGTTGAAAAAATGGAATATTTTAAAGAAGTTGAGAGAAAAAATCTATTTTAAAAAATTAATAATAAAAAAGTATTAACACATAACAGATTTAACACATGTTCTTTTACTAATTTATTTGTAAAATCTGTTTGTCCTATTTTATTTGTTTTATTAAAAAATAAAATGAAAATTTATATTTTAATTTTTTTAAAAGGTAAAGTAAAAACTATTTTTTAAAAAATCAAAATACACATTTAATTGAAACTAACTTTTAAAAATTAAAATAAAAGTATAAACCAAATTATGACAAAAAAACATAATTCTTCATGTCATGTCACAATCATCATCAATTAAATCCAGTTTCAATAATTTCGTTGGTTGAATGTTTATTGCATGTCCAAATATTGTAAAGGACACCACTTCTCTTATTTTTTTTTACTATTGAAAAGGTCATTTACAGGTTGTTATTAATTCTAACTTTTGAGAACAAAATATTCATTTTTATATGTTTATAAATATTTTTCTGGATAACTAACTAATGAAGTCCAACCAACTACGGTAACAATAACGTAAGTTGAGTTCGATTGACTTCTTATCATTTATAATAATAAAAAAATTGACTATACTAATATTGTAGATTGATAATTGATTTTAGAGAGGTTAAATAATATATTATTAATAAATAATAAATATAAAATAAAATAAGAAAATAAAGAAAAGAAAAAAATAAAATTATAAATATATATTTAAATATATTAAATAATCATTAAATATAAGAGAATGAAATAATAAATTATATTAGAGTTAAAAAATTTTAAAAAATTTTAAAAATAAAATTATAAATATATAAATAAATATATTAAATATTCATTAAATTTAAAAAATTAAAATCATAAATTAAATAGAAATTACTTCACCTGCGTTCGTCATCTCCGAAATCCGTCCTGGACCACACGATCCTATCATTTTTATTTTTTTTATCGAATTTTTATTGAAGGAAACCCCACTTTAATCATTAACTTAATAAGGGATTTTGAAGATTTGATTTTATCGAAATGGTTCGATGTTTTATCAACAATTTAAAACAATGAGATTAGGGTAAATAAATATAATAAAATTTCATTTCACAAGTCACGAAAAGAAATGATTGCGAACCATCTTCAGCCACAAGAAGAAATTCTGTGGAAAGAAAGGTTTATTCAACACAATTAAGCATTAAAATTCTTACAATTTGAAAAGTTTGCACCGTAAATGCAACCATAGAAAGAAACTCCCGTGGATTTTATTGTGTGGTTAACTGCAGAAGAGAAAAAACCTCCAAAAATTTGCAATAGTCCAATTAAAACTATTGGCAAATACATAGCCACTTGGGATGAACTTGGCCATTGAAAAAAAATTCTCAACATAATGTCTAATTTACAACAACAACAATAATAATAATAATAAATTTTAGAACAAGTTGTGCTTTCTGGGTGTGTATGTGGCTTTTGCTTTGTTGTTTTGCACTTGTTCAATCTGTTCACTCTGCCATTAAAAAACAAGCTTGAGTCGAACCATTTCACTTCGAATTTGATTTGATTAAACAAGTTATCGTTAATAACAAGAAGAAGACTAACACCCTTCAATGGTGTCCCCAATTCTCACTCCTACATGGCCTTGCGTCAGCTATTATCCATTCAGCAGCATCCATTATCCAAAACTCAATTAAAAGCTTTGAAATTTTCAGACCAGGTGTTACCAGTGTAGCCCATAGAGATGCTTCCTTTTTTGTTTTTGGTAAGAAAAGGATACATATTTAATTAGGTACATGCAAGACCATAAACATACCCTTTTATTATTGTTAATCATGTGGATGTTTTTTAATGTTGTAACTACAATATTCAATGTGTATTTTCTTTTGCAACTTAGAGAAGTTTGACATTTCTATTTGACATCTAACTAATCTTCTTCTTGCTTATACAATCTATTTAAAGTAGTGCTTATGTACTTTTGCACACAAATAACAAAAAAATGATAGAAATACACTCATGTTAATAAGAAAGCACTTTCTTTTATTTAGTATTTATTATGAATAAATAAAAAATATTAAAATAAAATAAGGCTTTCTTTTTTATAATTCTTAATGAATTTCAGACAATAATAAATAATTTGTTTATAGAAAAGAAGTGCATATAAATAATGCATTTATTTTTTTTATTTTTCTTGCATTAAATGGTTTTAATTTGTGTGATAAAAGCATAAAAGTAAATAAACATTTGCGGTTTCTGTTCTATGATTCTCGTTGTGCTTCTGGGTACTCAATGTTCTTCTTCTGGCTCTGCCACCCATATCGGTTTCTTACGAATACCAACGCTTGATGCTCTTTGTCCCTTCACAATCTTATCCAAATTATTCCCTTCAATTCTCTTCACTCTTTGCTTTCTTCACCACACCATCTCTCTTTTCTGAATGAAAATGGGTCTAATCCTGAATCGAAATGTGCAATCTTCATTGGTTCCGTCTTAAAAGTAGATTATTTTCCTTCTATATGCTCAATTGGGTTATCCGTTTCAATCCCGTTTCCGTAACAGTTTGATATTTATCTGTTGATTTTAATTGCTTTTGTTAATTTTTGCACTTTCACGTTTTCTTTCTGATAAGAGGTTAGAAAAAGGCTGCGACTTTTTGAAAGGGTTGATTAGAAATGGTGACAGGGAGCGACCCAGTTGAGTCTTTTTTCAATTCCGTTCAGGTTATGAAGGAATCGCTGTCGCCACTGGAAGTGGGTTTTCGGAAGGCGGCGAAGGATCTCGAGCATTGTTTGGCAGGGCCGAAGAACAAGGTCAATGGTGTTTGTTTGATTGCCCCAGTGAGGGAAGGTAGTGAATTTCAGATCTGTGATGTGAAGAAGAAGAAGGGGTTGTCAGTGAAGGTTCCTTTGAAGGCTTTCTGGGGCATGTTTTCACAGAATTCAGGGAATGGTGGTAGTAGTAATAGAGCTCAAGTGGGTAAGGAAGATGGGCCTTCTTGCACCAATTGTTTGCAGTTTGCTGTGACGTGGTCTATGTTCGTTAATGGGTTCCTTCAGTCTCTGCCACTTCCTTTCAAATCTGGGAAGAAGAAGTGCCATAAAGTGTGTGATGGAGATAAGCTGTGTTTTTGCATGAAGCCAACTGTTTCATCATGTGAGGTGAAGCAGAATGAATCTAAGGGGGCTCAGTTTGGTCAAGCAGTTTGGGAGAAGGGTGTGAAGAAGAAGGATGAGAAGCATGTTTCACTAGAGTGCCTTATAGGTTTTATCTTTGATCAGTTATCTCAGACTGTTCAGAGTCTTGATCATGGGTTGCAAGAAAATAATGATGACCTTGACTCTGGGAAAACTTGCCTGCCCCATCATTCTTTTCCTCATTTTGGTAATGTGAATGCACTTACAGGTTTCTTGGAGGAGCACAAAGTACATGTCAATGGTTTCTTTGGGAATTTGAGGTTTGCAAAGGTGGGTGGCGTGCCATCAACCGTGCCTGGGGAAGAGAGCCCTTCAACAAACGGGGAGGGAGATAATAGTAATAATAATAATGGTGATGGCGGTGGTAATAATGAAAACAAGGATGAAAGCGGAGGAAATTCGCCACAGAAGGTTGCCAACAACATATTCAGTATTCCTCTCTCGAATGTGGAGCGTCTAAAGTCTACACTTTCGACAGTTTCATTGACAGAATTGGTTGAACTGCTACCACAACTGGGAAAAACATCTAAAGACCATCCTGATAAGAAGAAATTAATCTCGGTGCAGGATTTTTTTAGATACACAGAGGCTGAAGGTGTGTCATATTACATGCGATAGGAGTTTTTTTTTTCAATTATTCTTTTTTAAGTTTGCTTGCATAAGATACCAGCAAACTCTTCTTAATAACGTAGTTATCGGTTGTTAGATCATGGAGTCCTTTGGAGTTAGGATTATGGTTTAATTTAATTATTCAAAATTGTGAATACATTTATTATCACATACATGTGCCTTGGATTAAGATAGAACATGCCGGTAAGCTTGTACTGGGAAGGATATGTGAGAAATCTGTTTCAGCAAATATGAGAGTATAGGTTAGGTACATTTTTAACTGGTAAAGGAACTAACAATACATGTAAAGATATTGCCAATTAACTTATACTTTCTGTTACGACGTAGGTCAAGGGATGTAATAAATTGAGTGTTATAATAGTAAATAATCAGTTACTTAAGTTAGTTTAACGAATCTTCTTATGGATGACTATACAATCCATGAATATATTTCTTGTGATAAACAACTTTCTTAAAAAGGTATGCAGGGCTCTGAATGCTATGAGTTGTGGTCTTTTAGGCTTTTTATTCATGTAAGATGTGTTTAAGCAAATCTGTTTCTGACACCTTTGCTGGAAGGATTTTGCTAAGGTTTCCTGTTTATTTGTTGGGCGTTGTTAGAAAAGATCACAGGCATAGAAAAAGAGAACTTGAAATCTATTTTGTTATTAATTTATATTTGATTAATTATATTGGTACAGAGTTCTTTTCCCAAATAAAAAACGGTGCATACAGATAGTACTAGGTGTTGACTCAGCACTACATATGACAACTTTTGGCAGTTGGTTAACAGATAGAGAAGATAGGTAGCTACAACATCACTTAATAAACTATGTAGAGACTGGGTACTGTAATTATTTGTCTATCATGTATGCTGATTTCTTTGTGGTATTTGCTGGAATGAAAAATTTGACTTTTCACTTTCATTATAATACAGGGAGGAGGTTCTTTGAGGAGTTGGATAGAGACGGTGATGGCCAAGTAACTCTGGAAGATCTAGAAGTTGAAATGAGGAAACGAAAGCTGCCACGAAGATATGCTAAAGAATTTATGAGCCGTGCCAGAAGTCACTTATTTTCCAGGTCTTTTGGTATGAAACAGTTTTTATCATTAATGGAACAGAAGGAGCCAACAATTCTTCGTGCATATACTTCTCTTTGTCTAAACAAGTCAGGGACACTGAAGAAGAGTGAAATATTGGAGTCACTAAAGAATGCAGGACTCCCCGCAAATGAAGACAATGCTGTGGCTATGATGCGATTTTTGAATGCAGATTCAGAAGAATCTATTTCATATGGACATTTCCGAAATTTCATGCTTCTGCTTCCCTCTGATCGTCTTCAAGAAGATCCCCGGTAAGAGAAATATGATCAATTAATTGATTTTCTTTTTATATTTCCCCATTATAGGCGATATACATAAAGTCCATTACTAATCCTTTGTATATATTTGGAGGTTGGAGGGGTTTTTATAAGTGCCATTACTATATAAAATGCCGGGCTTATGCCTATATTTGCTAATGATAGAAAAAAGGGAATATATAGAGAAAAGATGGAGAATAAGATACATTTCAAAATAGAGTTTAAGAAAATGAGAACATTAAGTAGCCAAGGGCAAAACAAACCATGGAGAAGCCATAAACTAATTCCTATCACAAAGTGGAGCCTTTGACGTGTGTGCATTCTATTCCAACCAAAACAATACATGCTCTCATAGTTTTTGTCCTCCTTGCTTTAGCAAAACCTTTATATAAAGAATAGCAAACAACTGCTCCTAAGAAGGACTGTCCTAGTGCTTACCTAGGCAAACCCACTTCCAATGACTGTTCTATAAGGAAGTGGCTGAAATTAAGGCATTTACATATTTTGGTAGTTGTATTTGATTTGTGTATATATTTGCCAGGTCTATAGGACAAGATACAAAATTATTATGTATTAGAAAAGATTTGTGTAGTTGTGATTGAGGGAAGTATGACAGAAGATTGATTAAGGTGGTTTAGCTACATACAAAGAAGACCATGAGAGGCACTGATGAGAGGGTGAATTGTATTGTATGGTTTTTAGTCGTGTGAATTGGAGGAGAGAAAGACCAAGAAGGACTTTCAAAAAAGTCATCAAGGTAGATCTCACGGGAAGTAATATTTCTGAATCTCTGGCTTTTAGCCTGGTTAAATGACATTGTCTTATTCAGATAGCTAAGCTCGCGTGGGATAATAAGTATTCATTGTTGATTCTCAGGCCTATGGTCTTATAGCCAGTCCCATGACTTGGTAAAATAGCAGGATTGGGTTAGGTCATCAGCAGCCGATGTAAAACTTCTCAAAATCTGAAACATGGATACTCACAGTAGATTATGGCCTTATTTAAATTTTGTCAGTGGTTCAACTTCTACCAGCAGTCAATGATTAAGATTTATTCTCTGTATTAATGACTACTTTTGTTATCACTTTCAGGAGTATTTGGTTTGAAGCGGCAACTGTAGTTGCTGTTCCACCGGCAGTTGAAATTCCTGCAGGAAGCGTACTAAGATCTGCGTTGGCAGGTGGCCTTTCCTGTGCCCTGTCTTGTGCCTTACTGCATCCAGTTGATACCATTAAGGCATGTTCTTGAACTTTCCTGAACAATTCCATATTCCTCTAATAGCCATTTGATTTTTTTGCTCCTTTTAGAGGCCTCATCATTGTCTTATTTGGTATATTAGACACGAGTACAAGCATCAACCATGTCCTTCCCTGAAATAATTTCTAAGCTGCCAGAGATTGGAAGGCGGGGTTTATACAGGGGGTCAATCCCTGCAATTCTTGGACAGTTTTCAAGGTTGCTTATTTGATCTCTTTTCATTTCTTCCCGTTTTCCTTTATTTTGAAACAAATTAGCTGAAAAGACATTGGTGTTTCAAGGATCATTAATACCTTTCATTAACAATGAAGAGTAATTATTTTCCTTTCAAGCTTATGCCACCTTTAATATTGCAGCCATGGCTTGCGAACTGGGATATTTGAAGCAAGTAAATTGGTGTTGATAAATGTTGCTCCAACACTACCAGAACTCCAGGTAATTTGTAAACCTTATATGATGGCTATTTATATGTTGCTCCAACACTACTCCTTAATATGTTTTCCTTGTTGGTTTTTGAGAATGCAAAGAACATAGAGTGAAATGCCTCATTCCCTAGTATTCAGTCTCAAGTTTTCTGCATTATATTTTAGTATTAGTTAAAGACTTTACTTTATTAAGAAAAGTGGTTGAGAATATACCTATACAACTGCTGTAAATTTTTCTTGCTTTCCAACCTATCATAAGTAAAAGCATGATAAACCTGTCACTGTAATAAGTGAATATTTTACTTATCTCCATGTATATTAAAAGGGTCGTTAGTGAAAACCTTTCTAGAGTGATGCAAATGCTTTAAATTGACGTTCTTCATACCTAATAGATAAATATTTTTCAAATTATATTTTATGGTTTTTAATACTTTAAATGGTTTGTGTTATGCACTTTGATTGAGCTTTAAAAGTGAATTTTTACATTAGGAGGTTGACAATAAGTTCATCATCATGCTGTATAATAAGGTCTTCTTTGTTATCACTTCACTTAATCCAGAAGTTTCACGTACAAACCATTCTGTAGGTACAATCTGTGGCATCATTCTGTAGCACATTTTTGGGAACAGCTGTGCGGATCCCCTGTGAGGTGTTGAAGCAAAGGTTACAGGCTGGTCTTTTTGACAACGTGGGTCAGGCTTTTGTTGCGACCTGGGAGCAGGATGGTCTTAGGGGTTTTTTTCGGGGAACCGGAGCTACCCTGTGCCGTGAGGTTCCATTTTATGTGGCTGGCATGGGGCTTTACGCTGAATCTAAAAAGGTGTGTAATTTCCATGGTTCAGCATGCTTGATCAATGTTGTTGTGTTTGTCAATGGTATTTTCATTTAAATTTACACATTATAATATCTCAGAAACCTTGGAGTTTGGTCCTCAACTGAATAGAATAACGTTGTGACTCATGCGGCTATAGTGACTTAGTGGTATCAAGCTTTGTTACTGTATTATATATTTGTTTGAAACTTACTGTGTGTTAAACTGAATGTTTTTTATTTCACCCAAAAGAAGATTAACTTTGAGTAAACTGGACTGAGTAGGAATTTTGACGGTTTACTGCAACAAAATCAGCACCAATAAATTTCGAGATTGTGTTAATATTGAATAGGTGGAAAAACATAAGTTGACTTGAAGCCATGAGATATTTCTCTTAAAAGTTATGTGACAAAAGCATTCTGAAGGCGTAATCGATGCATCAATACTACAATTAGTAGTGAACACCTCACTCAAAAACCAAACTTGTGAGCATTCAATAATAATGAAAATAAATTGCATGCAGACATTGCATAGTATGTTTGCTTAGCTACCAGTGAACCTATCTTTATTTCGAGACTGAAATGTGGTCTGATTTTAGGTTGTTGAACGATTACTAGAGCGGGAACTTGGTCCCCTGGAAACAATTGCAGTTGGAGCTTTATCTGGTGGCTTGGCGGCTGTTGTGACAACACCATTTGATGTCATGAAAACTAGAATGATGACTGCACAAGGCCGGTCTGTGTCAATGTCCTTGATAGCCTTCTCTATACTAAAACATGAGGGACCCCTTGGCTTGTTCAAAGGTGCAGTGCCCAGGTTCTTTTGGATTGCACCTCTTGGTGCTATGAACTTTGCAGGTTATGAGTTGGCAAAGAAGGCCATGAATAAAAATGAGGAGGGCAAGGCAGGCGGTTCAGATTAACATCATGAGTTGCCCAAGATTTTGTGTCACAGCAACCAAATGTCTGGTGGAATTTTTGAGTTTATTGCAGCGATCAATGGAATAAGGTCATTGATACTGCTCTCAAACACACATTTTGTTTCCTTTGTTCATTTTCTATTTTGTAGCAGCAGAATCAAAGAATATATTCATTATATATTTGCATACTAAAAAGGTTCGTTTTATTTCATCTTTTGTACAGATTTTAGTCCTCTGTATCTTGCTTCAGCCCTCATTTTATTTTTATTGTTTTCTCGGTTCAGTTTGACACCACATTTTCTGATTGATTGGCAAGTCTTTATTGATTTGGTTAGAGCATTTTACAATCTTGTATTTGGTTGTTTAGTTTTTGGAATAAATTCTTGCGGTTGTGACTGGAGCTTAATTGGAATATATTTCGGGTAACAAGTGCATGATATAAGTTTGTATTTAGCAAATATCCAATTTGTATTTTTGACAGAGTCAATTAGCCTAATTTAGTCTCTGAAAAGAAAAAAAGAAATAAATCAAACGCTGTCTTGTCGAATTATAAATATGATACACTAGTTATTTTCTAATTTTAGAATATAAATTTATATAAACATTAGTAAATTTTATGTACTCTCGGGTAGAATATGAAACCCAAAAGGAATGCATATCTTTGTGAAGTGGATGGTTGTGCTGTCTGTGGCTTAAGTCTTCATTTGCACCAAATGTTGGAAGAAGTGAATTGAAGAGTTTAGAAGATGGACTTTTTCTTTCTCGTCTCGTTGTAACCTTCATCTTCATTCCGGCTTATGAAAAGAGCTGATCTTTGGCTCGTTCTTGGGCCTTTGATTTTTCAATCCCAAGCCCTATCCAATCCAAAGGGAAGGAGTCAGGCGGCTAGCTCCTCGCTCCTGTCGATCGGCCCTCTCTTGTATAGTCTCCAATTCGTATCAAGAGATTGGATGTTCGGGGAAGAGTGAGAAAGGGTAGCTGCTTCTTCTTTCAAAGCCTTTAGAGACTCGTACAAAGAAGTTCCATGCCATGGCATAGCCTTCCCTGACTCAGACTCAAATGCAACTATGTTGGGCTCTTATTCGGCCAAGATATTGGTACAAAATTGTTCTAATTTAATCTTGCAAATTAATTCCTAAAACTAAACTATTGATCAGTTTTTTTAAGCTTTATTTGATAAAGGAGAAAACTAGGTTAAATTAAAATAAGTTGGTATCTGTTTGGATTAATTTCTCCATTAGTCTTTTTAGGATAAAAAAATGAGAGTTTTCTAGACATAATTAAAATTCTACAATTTCTATAAAGTAACATGAAAGAACTTTTAGGAAAATAAAAATTTTCTAGTATGGAGAGAAGCTTATCCAAATATAAGCTTAGTAGATAGGAAACAGATAAAAAATAAAGTAAAAATTAAAGATGTTTGATTAAAGATAAATAAAGGAAAATAAATAGAGATTAAGAGATTGACAGAAACATATGAAAAATATCAACTTCCACCATTTATTAAGACATACGCAAAAACAACATTTTCTTAAAAATCAATAACCCAGTTATCATTTCTGATCTCATCATCAAATTTCTTCTTCATTTCGGGATGCTTTTCGAAGTACTCATCCGCCGTCATGGTGCTAAGCTTTTTCTATGGGAAAAAAATAATGATGGTGAGTGTTTTTTTTTTTTATTTAGTATAAAACTGTAAAATCGCTGAGTAGATTTTTGATACCTTCTTGTACTTCAATAATATCTTTTTCCAAACGTTCAGACTCGTTCGTATATTTCTCCCCTACTTCTTTAAGCTCAATCAAGTGGTGCTGGTATCATTAAGAAATTTAAATATATACACATTAGTCCACCAGACGACTGGGTTTCATAGGGTTCACAAACATATTCTCGTAATGCTCCTTGTACAAATCCACCAGCCGAGTGCCAATGCCTTTCCTGTAATAATCCCAGTCGATGGGCTCAGGTTCCTGCAGATATATCTGACACGAAATTGGATTGACAGATGGCTATCAGGAAGTGCCTTGAAACAAGTGGCCGCGTTTGGCTGCCCTGACACCCATAAGAGTGCTGTCTTTCCTGCTAAAAGGCTGCGGAAGTTTTTTTGAGGTCCCGGATAACACGGTAAGGCATAGCATTCATCAAAGCGTTTCTAATTTACCTGGAGACAACAAAACTTATATGTAGTGTTCGTTAGATGTTTTTGGCATTGTTATTCACTCAGAATTGAAGTTTCACTTTGACAATCTACATGACTGCATTATAAGTTACCACCATAGTAAAACTTCAATATTGATTAAAGACCAGCTTTAGAAATACTTAACAAACTGCATAGAAAGGTTTGTTTAGGTGAGTAGCTTCATTAAACTTTTATTGAATAAGGTTTATATATGTGTAAGTTGTTTCATAATCGAAAACAAAATAAGATTAAAGTTAAATTGTTTTCATATTAGTTAAAAGTTTTGTTCACAAGTATATTAGAGAACTTGTTGAAATGAGCTGAAAACAAAGATTATAAGCTTGTTTTATAAGGTCTCACAAATGTTTATAGAAGTGTTTATGTTATAGGCCTTTTTCAAGTACACCTAATGTTTTGTCCTGTATTAATAGATGTATCTGGTTACCTATGTTGTGTACATTTTCTTGAATCAAAGTGTATGGAATTTTAACACCAATAATTTGGAATTAGTATCAGTTATGAATATTATCACTTCATACGGTTTAGAGTCAATGCACCCCCAGCTGGTAGTGTCTGATGTACTAAAGAAATCAGTAAGTCAATTGCTGAAGGAGATTGTGAAATTGAGTAAGACCACCTGAGATTGCTTCTTGTTGACCGGGGTATTGATATTGGAAAGGGTTTATAGTAGGTAATCCTGAAGTTGGTAATTTCATTTTTGAAAAACCAACAAAACAAAAGAATTTTTCAATTTATGATTTCATTAAACTTAGACAACGCTTGGCTTTTGCCAAGAAAATGGAACAAAAATTGGAAAACTCCTTTTCTTTTCAGAAAAATGAGTTTCAAAAACATATTTCTTGTTTGGAAATAGAAAATAAAGATTTAAAAAACGAAATCTTAGAACTCCGTAAAAGGATGGACTATGATTTCGAAACCATTGATTATGGAACTTTTACAAATAAAATGGCCTATGTTGGGTCATTCAAAAGAAAATTTTTGGGACAACTTCCCGGCCCAATCCAAGAAAAAATCTACGAACATGTTTTTGTTGCCTTGTTAGTAGAACTTGGAGCACTACAAAACTGGTTATTCCAATTGCCAGTAGACTCTACACTCCGCCTATACTTGAGGATAGTCCAATATCAAGATGATTCGACACCCTCATCTTCCGATCAGTACAACATCGGAATAAACCCTTATTTGGTGGAATGCGATCCTGCTTGGATCAGCAAACAAATTAACTGAAGATTTATTCTTTTCAGGATTCATGAAAATGATGATTATTTTCAGAAACTCTATTATAGAACCATTTTTCGGTATCAAGATAAATTACTGGATAAATGCGTTCTTTAGAAACAACTACAGTGAGGAATATTTCATTGAAATATTCTCAACACACCCCTACAGCATAAAAGGGGAATATTATCCAGCTAAACATCACTTGTTTCTGGATACTGAGTCATTCACTGATATCTGTTTCAGTGATAATCTTCAAAAGATTGATCATATTAATCCTCCTTTCACTACAGTGAGGTATGATCAATTCCAGGATGAAGATATCCATAAAGAGCTGTTAGCCGAAACCACCACCATCAGTCTTTGGGTGAAATTTGGCAAAGCTGCTCATGTACGCTGGAACTGTACAAATCCCGCCTCCCCACAACCAATGAGTCTTTCTGATAAAGACGACTTTACCCTCGAAGATTTTGAAGAACTCCTAATGGCGTAATCTCCCACGTCATTAGCCACACAAAGACCATATTGCCCTTGAAGGTTTCGAGGAGCTTCGCATGACGTAAGCCCTTACGTCATACACGGCTGTATCAAAAGACGACAAAGGTTAATGGCAGATAATGATATCTTGCTACCTTGTCACGATTCCTCTTCCGTTACATGTTGTTAGGCCCATTAAGCCTTGCATGTTAATGACGGTAAGATTGAATCAGTCTTTTGATAAAATGTAAAAAAAAAAAATAAAAAAAAAATGAATGTCACTATTTTTGTCTTTTAGTGACGTTACTATTTGTTTTTGTTTTTAGTAAGGAAGTTTCCTCCGTAGGATTACTTCTTTGCTAAGTTTTGAGACCCATTAGTCATAAAGTGGGTCCCACTGTAAATTACTATTCATTAGTTTAATATTTTTGTTTTTCTATATAAGGCTTCGTAAGTCCCTTATGTTGGGCAGAAGCTTAAGATAGGAAACATTCCCCTCTCTCTCCTCTCTCTCTTCTCCTCCTTCTCTCTACTTCTTATGTAAATTTCCTACTATCAATAAGAGAAGTTATTCAGCATCTCCCCTCTCCTTCTCCTTCTCTTCCCCCCAAGTAAGTTTTCTCTGCTCCCCCTTATGGAGTAGTTTTCCTATAAGGGCGTCCTCGAATGCCTTAAGCTTTATTTATTTAAAGATGCGATAATCATTTAAAGGCTTAAATAATTTTTTGTACAGTTTTATTTGTGTTCATATAAGCTTATGAGGAGATGTCTAACCGGCTCTGCCAGATTCAGTCATCTCATAATCTTATCATGGACTTGTGTGTTTATTTTTCCTGTCTTTAAATTTCTGCATTTAATTTCGTTCATAAGTAAGCTTATGAGGAGATGTCTAACCGGCTATGCCAGATTCAGTCGTCTCATAATCTTATGTTGAACACTTTTCTTGCTATAACCGACTTTATCTCGGACAGTCTTCATTTTAGCTAGCCCGGTTTCGGGTTCTCTGTGAGCTAAGTAGCCACGTTGACCGACAGAAGAGATAAAGAGTTATAACATGTTTTAATTTATTTGTTTTCCAGTCTCTTTACTTTTCTCCTTTCCATCCCCCTTTCGGGTCTCAGGGCAGTTTATTCTGGGTTCATTCCCGGTTGTTTGCCCTTCTGGTATCTGAGCAGGTTCTCCTGCTTTCTCTGTACCGTTTGGGGTACTCAGTTATCTGAGTTTCCACCCCGTTTACTTTTAGGGTACTCAGTTATCTGAGTTTCCACCCCATCCCCCTCTCTCTTGGTATCAGAGCGAGGCCGCGTGCTCGATTCCTGTCGAGGACGGAATTGGGGCAGCGTGTGGTAAGTCCCCTCGAGATTCCCGAAGAGCGGGGGAATCAGAGTCGCGGAAGCGTGGTGGGACCAGGGGCTAAGTGCTAAAGTGTGAACCACTCTAACTTAGCTAGTGCTACGCTCATGGCCGTGGTAAGTCCTCAGATCTCGAGCGGAACGTCGCGCGTGTGGACCGGCTAGTCTAAAGTGTGACCTGCTATAGCTCGAATCGACAGTTTGACACCAAGCGCTAGCCACTTAACAAATCTTTGAAATAAGATATTCATATTATAACTAAGTTGTAAAATCATATATGTAATAGTAATACCTAACCCTTTTTAAAATAATATTTTTAAAAAAATTAAATAAATTTTATTAATCACTCTTCAGATTTTGTTGATTTATATATTTTTAATATGTATAACACCTTTTTTTATTTTATATATTTAATATTTAAAAATAAAATAAAATTTAATTAATATACGTAAACTTATTTGAAGGTGTTAATCTTTCTTACTTCATTTATAAATTTTAAATTAAAATAATCAAGTAAACAAAAATCAAACTCTGTACTGTTTCAACCAGAACAATAATATTTTTAAAATAATTTTTTCTATAATTCATATCCTAGTTAAAAACAAAAAAGTTTAAAGTGAGAGGGAAAATTTAAATTTTTTTAAAATTATAATTATGAGTGAAACGTTTTTGGGTGGAATTTGGGATATTTTTGGAGAGTAATTAATATTGTAAAAGACTGGAGTTCTCTCTTGTTTATTTATTTTCTCTTTTCCTTATTTTTTTCTCTCATCTCCTTTTTATTCTTTTTAATTAAAATATTATATTAAAATTTAATAAAAATATATTAAAACAAATATTTTAAAATCAACATTAAAATTAAATAAATATCAATTAATTATTTAAAATTATGACAATAAATGATTTTATATATAATGACAGTAAGTAAATAATTAATTTAAAATTATTTTCATAAAAAATAATTACTATTTTAATTAACAAATATCAAATATTTAAAATGTATTTTTTACTTAATAATTTAATGCAGTTATAATTAAGTTAAATGATGATAATTAGTTATATTAGATAATTTTACAAAATATTAATTAAAAATTACTTTAAAATAAATATTTATTTTTTTCTTAATAATAATAATAATACTTATAATATTTTAAACTTATCATATAATATTTTAAACTTATCATATAATATTTTTTAAATATAATATATTAAATTATAGAATTTATAGGTCATTTAAATATTTTTAAAAATAATAAAATATTCACTTTGCTAAATTTTAATTTAATATTTTTAATTAATAAGATAAGATAAAGTGAAAGTAGAGTAAAAAAAATACTAATTAAAGACAGTCAAAATATATTGGAATAAATAAAAAAAGAGAAAAAAATAAATTGAAAAAAGGAAAAATAATTGTATTATATAAGATGAAATTATTATCTTATTAAATTTTATTTTATATATCAATAATAAATATGTCTAATTGAATAAATAAAATTAAAAAATATTTAAATATTTTAAAAAAATATATTATTTATAATATTAATTAGATAATACTCATTAAATATTTAATTATAATGATAACAATATGAGGTTGAATTACGGGGTTAGTGCGTCGTGAAAGTGTGAGAATATTGGACATTTCAATTTACCGCATGACTTTCAATCTGTATGAACTAAACAGTAGGATAAACTGACCCTACGTAACTAATTAAGACAGTCTTTTAATATATTTTTTAATTGAAATAATTTTTTTATTTTTTTATTTATTATATAATTTTTTTAATAATAATAGCATATCGCATTAATATTCCGTCTA